ATTTATATATTTTATATATATAAAGTATGCAAAATGCATATAAAGTATGCAAAATGCATTATATATATACTTTATATATATAAAGTATAACAAAAGGCAGTTAACAATCATCAAGTGATCAATAAGAATGCTGATTTAAAGAAAGATTTGAAAAACAGAGATAAGAGGGACAGCGACAAGGCGTGCATGCGTGCGTACGTGCGTGCGTGTGTGTGTGTGTGTGCGTTTGTGTATAATCTCAGTGGTGAGCACAAACTGCTACCAAGGAAGGTCTGTTACTGCTGCAGGCTTTGTCCCCTCGTATGTGCAGTGGAACACCAAAGCGCCATAGACATTCAGTAAGCTTTTTGAAATGAAAAGGAATCTTGTGGCTTATGGCCTTTTCAAGAACGCAAAGGACCTCTTGGCCGAGGTTCTCACATTCTTCTCTAGGAACAGAGAACAAACAGTCAGGTACTTGGAGAAGAAGTGCAGCCTGGACCCTCCCCTCTGGTAGGCAGAAGGAAGAGCAGGACAGCAGTGGCCCCTGGCAGCCATCCACGAACCAAGCCTTGAAAGGTCTAAGACCAAGGGGTTTGCTTCCTTCCTGAGGCCAAAGCCCAGGGGCACCTACGTGATGCTGTTCTGGTGCAGCGTCTCCAGGGTGGTGTTGCGGTCCTCGGTGGTGGCTCTCTTGTCCATGTTACGGAAACGTTCCATGGCCGATATGTTGCGCTGGATGCTCTGCTTCGGAATGTCCAGCTTGGAGATGAAGGTGAGGGCACCACGATCATCGCAGCTGAAGAGCATCGGGCAGCAGTCATGGCCCTGGAAGAAACCAGCAGACCCACGGCTTCAAACAAGTGCTTTGGATTGACCAGTTATCTGACCAGAAGCTTGGGCTCTGTCGCCACCACCTTTCAAAGTTCAGTCCTAAAGCAAAGGCCAGTCTGGAGCGAGAGTTTTCTTCATGGGATTGCTCTTGCTATCAGGAACCTCCAAAAGTGCCGGGATGGTAGAACACTTTATTGATGAACTAAAACTGATTCAAAATCTTGCCTCTCTCCCAGTCTAATTTAACTCACAGCAGAGTTGTAAGAACTGTGGTGGGGAATTATGGACTGTACATGGCCTTGAATTTCTTTGAAGAAATGGGGGCAGGGAAATATAATACTTTCTGAAGAGCAGTAACAAGGTAATCAAAGCGCCGAAGCTTTAAGATTGTGCACTTGGATCCAGTGCCCTGAGGTCTACTCCATGCACAGCCGAGAAGCTTCTAAGGTGGCGCATGTCAAAGAAAAGGTACTTACAGCAGCCACCACGCTGTTCTCAGAGACAAAGGACAGACTCAGCAGCGGGAGGAACTCCGTTTTCAATTGTGAGACCCTAAACCCAAGACAACATTGTTAATGACACATCACCCACCCAAAATCTTTCAACAGCACTGAACTAACAGGACTCTGCAAAGATATGACTCAGTTTATTAGGGCAGAAACTAGTGTTAGGCAAGATACTCATGAAATGAGGTCACTTGGCCAAATATTCTGGATGGCTTTATCTAGAACAATGAAGGATAGGTGCCCGTCACAGCTATTCCTCAAGGGCCATGAAATGTGCATTATCTGAAATTGGGCACACATGAGGACTCTAGGGATGTGTCTGTTAACTCTTAATCACTCTGAAGCAGAGCAATGAACTTGAAATGCAAGTCCCAGCCGGACGCCTGCAGTACCACAGTCTGTCGCTAGCTGGCAAACTTCGCTTACAGAACGCTGCCATCCCTGGTGTGCAGATGGGAAAATCTGAGAAACAGAGCTATACAGTAAAGGTGCTCTTTTCCCTTTGCTGAGGGGCAATCCTCCTTTACAAGAACAGAGCAAGGAGCTTCAGAGTGCCAGAGGTCACAGCTTCACTCAAGGCAGGGCATGGAAAATATGTCTGACCTGACAGGTGCATAACTGTCTGAAGGTTTCAGTGTATGAAACCGGCAACTTGGGCCAAACCAGAGTAGCTTTGCAAGTACAAAATCAGCCGGTCATTTCTGATACCTCCCAATCCTTGTTATTTTGAATTACAATCAAGGATGCAATCTGACAGTCTGGAAAATGCAAGGTACACACGCATCAGTGAACCGCTGATGGATCCAACCTGCAGGGAGGACCTTGCCTACGTTTTACCTCCACAAACATCCATCCTATGACTGTGTGCCATTACTTACATCATGTTTTTGGAGGCATCTGCAACCGACACGGTGCTATCGTGGCTGACCCAGGCAAGGCGGTTGCCGCTGGCAGAAAAACTGACACTGTGGACCCAGCCGCCACTTCCTGCGCCACCAAATTCAGCCATCAGCTGCCCAAAGGGCATCTTGGAGCCCCAGAGCGTGCTGGCTGGTTTCTCGTCCACTTCCTTAATGTATGCTGAAAACACCCTGGAAACAAGCGGAAGAAGGACGAATGAGGGAGGGTGAGCAGTCCCAAAAGTATTAAGGCGGCCTTTACCCTCTCCTACTAAACTGCTCATTTCCAAAATCTTTCACATAAAAAGAAGTGTAGTAACAAAAAAGTTCACAGAATCTAAACTAGGGCTCCGTTCAATTAATTTGTCACTCATTGCAAGAGACCCATAAACGAAATAATGGTGAGAAGACATGAAAAGACAGGAAATATTTATGCAAAAACAGTGGACAAGAGAGGCTGATGCAACAGTTAAGGAAACACAGGTGACAGGAAGTGTCTACGTCCTGATCCAGGATACACAAATCCCACTGGTCCACATAGGATGAGGAACCATGAATAGATAAACTGGCAACACATCAGAATGGACAATGGGCATCTGTTAAAATGATTCCATGCAGCGGACACTCCCCAACCCTATGAGCCCGTTCTAACAAAAGTTCAGAAATTCCAGCTGGTATAGGACTCATTTAGAATAGGCCACCTTGAAAATGGGAGACTTCCTTTCAGTATCAGAAAACTGCTTTATGTGGAGAGCAAGATAATAAACTTTCTTCCGGGTACCGTGCTAGGTGCACACGGGGAGAGTTCAGTGTGGAAAGGAACTCAAGTAGGCAGTTTTCAAATCCATGTTCTTTGGTGCCACCACCATACTGTGTCACGTGTCCATTTGCACTCTTGCCTTCCGGGCAGCCTCACTGCATGTATCGGTCTGCCAGAAAACATTTGGATAAGGATCATGGAAACCAAGCCATAATATTCTGGAGCATATGTGAGTTTATGCAACAGAAGGGAACCAGCCAAGCCTGCAGGCCTGATGACTGCCTGCGGAGCAATGGTGGGAGAAACCCCAAATGCCCACAGCGTATCTCCGCAGCTACTTATGACAAGTCAGGGGCAAACTGCACTCATGAAGTCTTGCCCACCTTCCCGAGCTCTTCTCTGTGGAACTTCCGATCAGCTGGAACAAGTGGGGAAAATCGCCATTCTGTGCTGTACGTGCCTCCTCCCATGAAAGTCACCCCTGAGGTCACAAATGCTCAACAGCAGCTGGTGAATACGCCAGCCAGAAGCAGCAAGCCAGCGAAGGACAGCTGTTATCCCATCTGCGCGGCATATTAAACGTTTGAGTAAAAAAGGATTACTTATTTTTACTCACAGTCAAAAGTGAACAGGGTCAGGGGAAGAGAAGAGGAGTTCCAATCAACTGAATCCCACGACTAGCATGCGTGCCCTGCACCTTAGGCACAGATGCAAACAACAACAGCAATAATCCATTCTGCCTGATAAAGCAGCCTATGCTAATGCCAAAGTTTGCATGTTTTTTTCAACCAGTTTGAGTCTAAACAGTAGGTGTCTATTATTTGTGTTTTTGGACTAGATTTCTCAGAATTCCCCATTGTGGCCATTCTTCCTGGAGAATTCTGGGAGCTACAGTCCAAAAATTCCAAATCTACACACCATCGCCACAAAGTCAATGAAGGGGCCAGATGCATCACATAGCCAGAGGTCCCCAAACTGTAAAAAGCTTGCAAAAATAAAGGTACTGATTTGAAAAATTAAAAAAAAAGTTGGCAGAAGGTCTGAACACTTGCAATGAGCCAGATTTAAGAAAGCCATCTGCAAAAGCCTGGCTAGGTAAACTCTACTAATGTATGGAACTAGGACACAGCAAGGTAAAGGCAGGAAAAAGGCTTCAACATGAGACACGAATAAATCTTTCTGAAGCAGCAGAAAGGCCACAGGTAGCCGTATTATGAAAAAAATAACTCTTTAATTTGATGTTGCTTTTCATAAGAAGCGAGGGATTATTTTTTCCACAGCCAACCCTTCTCTCCCAGCTAAAAGTCTCCAAACTCAAAGGGAGCTGGAGAGCAACTTAAATGCCAAGAAATGCCAGCAATTCTTACACAGCATCAAAGCTTCCCAACACACGCTGGGAGCGACAGGAGGAAACAAACACAGAGGCAAGTGAGGATGATTCACCAAATGCCACCTTTTGAAAATTCTCAGGAAATCCCAGACTGCACTTCTCATTCTGTTCAGAATTTCAGCATCTACCTTGGAAGAAAAGCCACCTCCAGCTTTGCAAGAACATCTGGGAACTAGCAAGGTGCAAAACTAGCAAGTGCCACTGTGAAAGGAGGTGCTTTGCTTATCTTTCCTTAGACCAGCGGTGCCCAGCCTGATGCCTTCGAGGTGTGTCAGAATCCCATCATCCCAGGTACCGCAACTCGTATAGACTGGGGGAAGTCTGATTCCTACCTTTAATGACTGCTTTTTGAACACAGCCCTCAAAGGGTGGAAAACCGTAATATCTCCAGGGAGAATACCTCCACCTGCCTCTGCCTTTAGCCGGGCCAAGGTATGGTCACCTCCAAGGGCTTTTCAACTGACCTATGACTGACCAGCAGCATCCTCTCTCTTGGAATCGTGAAGCTGTTGCCCGACTACTCTTTTGAGGGCTCAGTAAGGGCAGCCAGTGCCCACAGTGAATGAGAGGCCAGTGGGTTGCTTGCCCTTTCACTTAGAGCACACGCCTTGCATACACACGGTTCAAATCCAAGTTCCACTCCTTTTCACTCCAAATAAAGAACTGGGTAAGACCATCACAGCTGCCAGAAAAGAATATGGGCCCAAATACCTCAAGCAGGACCTGGGCTGCCTTCACAGCAACCGCCTCGAGAGCACACCAGCTTTACAGGGAGAGAAAACTAGAACTGTTGCTAGAACTGCATGTGCATGTATCGGCTTCTCCATAACCAACAAACACAATCTATAGTTGCTTTAGAGCTCATGATTCAGAGCCCAGAAAACATGTTGGTACCACATCTTAAAGAACTGCACTGGCATATTTTTTCCAAGTTTGGGATATATGAACAGGCTTTGGTGAGGTACAGTATTTGTTTCACCTGTGACTTTATGGCAACTTTCTATTCTCACCTAGCCAACAACTCTCTACACACTGCATGTACGACATGTAAGATTTAGGGAAGACATCCACAGGCACAGAGTTTCTGCCATGGCAATGCTGTCCCTTTGGACGAAAAGCTTCTATCACAACCGGGACCTATCAAAACGGCAGAGTTCTGGAAAATGATGCCACCACCCAGGGCTTCTCTGATATACACAAACAGAGCATCCCCCCCCAGTTTGTGAGTGGCAGAGAAGAATGCCAGGTCTGAGAAACCACAGCAATGACATCTGGCCACTCATATTATTTGACTAGGGACTAATTACACAGAACAAGCTCCTGAGTCCAGAAGTCTCAGGGGTACAGCAAAGGGAAGTCAAATCAGAGTTTGCTCAAAAGCAGTCGGGTGGGAAGAGTTATCAGAACAGAAAAATCCAAGGTAACTGACAATCACTGCGTACCAAGACAACTTGAAACAAGCTTCAGGACAAGCCATGTACTATATCCAATTAAAGATGTCATCATCCAGTGGGGATTTAAACAGGCTGGAATTTGTTCAGAATACTATACGCTATGCCATCCTGCAGATGACTACTGTCACAAAATATGAGAGAACTCTAAAACTGTTACAGAACCGAAGGCTGCCAATACATGGAAAGAATGTATTTCATGTATGAAACAGCCAGACAATTTGTGGTATCAAGCTAGTAATATTCTGTGAAGTTTCGGCCCATGCTACACATCTATAATTCCAATAAAGGTTTTCTGGCCCAAGATAGGAACTGAGACAAAAGATGTTCACAAGAAAGGAATTGTGCAGAAGGCAATCTGAACAGCCACTTTGATTTAGCACCTAGAAAGCTGGTGTGTCTTGCCACTTTTGAATACTAATGATCTAAAACCTCTCTCCAAAATTCGGAATGCCTTTTCTGAAGCTGGCCCGTGTTGCAGTCTTGTCACCTAATGGCTAAAGGGCCATACCGACAGTGCATTAATTTAAAAAAATGGACCCAAATCCACTTCCTGAAGTCACTCAGCTTCCCTTACCTGCATTTGAAGTCACAGGATCCGGCTGCTAGCAAGACATTATTGGGATGCCAATCCAGGCTAAGGACAGTAGAGCGAATTGGCTTCTTAATGTGCTTGCTTACCCACCTGAAGGAAAGGACAAAAAGCAGGGGGGAAATACGTTTACCTGTTGCTCTTAAAACACAGGGCTGAACCTACACAGCAAGAGTATAGATGTTTCTGCCACAGAACGGGAGCAGCAGTCAGAACTCAACAGCCTATTTCCACAACCAGTACGGAATGAAATGGAAAACTCTCCTTCCAGCAATAATACAGAGCTCCATGAAATGACATGCCTGCCCCATGGTCCCCTGCTGCAAAAACAACCTTAGCCAGGTATCTAAAATACCATCGCAGAACTGGTTCCATTCTCAAGGACTAAAAGACTCTGTGGGCAAAACAGAGCTATTCTCCTGTGGCCATGACAAGCTGCCCACTCCCCTAAAGCTTCGCTTGCCTTAAAATAGTTAAAAGGAGAATGATTCAGATGCTGAATTCTGAGCTCTTAAGGGATCACTGATAACCAGCTAACTGTAACGCACACAGCGCTGTATTTATTATAGTGTCAAGGTATAATCAGAAGAGCTGACTGACATTATTAGCCTTCTTACCAGTCGTTTTCAGACTCAAAGTAGCACACGGATATAAGTCGAGCTCCACTTCCCACAGCAAATTTGTTCTCCAGCGGAGACCACTTGACAAAGGTGGCTGCTCGGTTGATCCTCAGGATGACCAGCGTGGGCTTCCACACACCATCCTTCTGACTCCAGACGTAAGCATTACGGTCAGCACCACAGGTGACAATGCGATCACTCTTGGGAGCCCAGTCAATGCCTACAAAAAACATTACCTTTATTTGTGCCCACTAGGAGTTTATGTCAGTTCAGACTTGAAAGGGTTATTGCTGCATGTGACATACACTGGACATTCATTCTGTCTTCACCTCTAGAAACAACCTTTGCATGTTTACGTATTGTTTCAAAACATTCAGAGGCTGCGTGAGAAAAGGTGTCAATGCAGCAAATGGAGTACACTAGTGCCTCGCTTGACGAGGATAATCCGTTCCAGCAAAATCGCTGTAGAACGAAATCGTCATCAAGCAAAAGTAAAAAAAACTCATTGAAATGCATTGAAAACCGGTTCAATGCGTTCCAATGGGTGAAATACCTCAGCGTCCAGCGAAGATCCTCTATAGGGCAGCCATTTTCCAGTGCCTGTATAGTGAGGAATCCGTCCTAAAACACAGCGGGGAGCCATTTGCACAGCGGGGAGCTGTTTTGATCATCATTAAACAAAAAAACCCCCATACAAACATCGTTTTGCGATCGCAAAATACTCATCGTTAAGCGATTTCCTCGTCTAACGAGGTAATCGTCAAGCGGGGCATCACTGTATATTTACAAGCACCACAGAAAGTAACGGCTCTTTCAAATGACACTGTCTTCAGCCTCACCTAACGAGGCAGGTAGGACCTTGATTCAAACATAATTTAGAGATATCTTTCATCCTTTGGCTGCCAAAAAGCCCCTCCTCAATTCATAACATCTCTCTTTTCAGCATTCAGTGGTCCCCACAAATGCAGGGGAGCTGTCTTGCTATACAACTGCCCTTGACAATGCACTGCTACTGCAACAACTGAACACTTATGAACTTGAAAAAAGGTTTGCAATATTGGCTTTGTGGATGCATGCTAAGCTATGCTACCAAGGATATAGCTATCAGGCAATGAATGTGTCAAAGCACACTATAAATAAATCCATGACTTGTTTCCAGCACCACAGCTTTGATGAAACAATATTACCAAGCCACGCAGCTTGGTAAATATTATCCATTATCTAGAAAAGTAAATAATTTAATCACCAGCACTATCCTTTATTCTCAATATACTACTTTTTAAAACTGATTCATATTTCTCACTTTAAAAAGTAATAATGCAATCCACTTAGGACTTAATGGGAGGACTGGCTTAGTCTTAAATGCAAAAACATTCTGTAGCCCTAAAGCAAAAGATCAGTCAAACACAGAGCAATGATGTCCAAGCGACACAGTTTCTTTTCATACGTTTTAACTGGCACCCCACAGATTCTGTTCACTTAAGCTTGTGTGAGAGACAAGATGACAAGGATTTTGTTAAGTCCACATATGTGGGATTTTCCTTTCCCACTGTGCTTTTAAATTTAAGCTTTCTATTAAAAATGATTTCCTAATTCTTGATGAGGAACAACCGCCCCACCCCAAAATAAGCCAAGCACGGCCAGTGCAGAAGTGTCCTCGGTGACAGAACAAATCCATCAATTGCAGTAAAATGCTGCTTCTGATTTCAAGATGGCAATTTAAATGTGAGTACAGTGGTGCCCCGCATAGCGAGGTTAATCCGTTCTGGATTAACCGTCGCTATGGCGAAACATCGCTGTACGGGAAGTAAAAACCCATTGGAACGCATTAAACCTCATTTAATGCATTCCAATAGGCCCCAAACTTATCGTTCAGCGAAGTTTCTCCATAACGCAGGCATTTTTGTGCCCTCGGTAAGCGAGGGCAGGGTGCAAAAATGCCACGCGCGACCGTTTTGGGGCTTCCAGTGGCCATTTTGGAACCGCCGATCAGCTGATTCCCGGGCATCGCAAATGCTTACCGATCATCGCAGAGTGATTTTCGCCCATAGGGGCCATCAGTATGCGATCGCGTTTGCGATCGCAAAAACCTCCTCGGTATGCGGATTCGTCGTTCAACTGTGTTCTCGTTAAGCAAGGCACCACTGTATTATAAGCACCTTCCGTATCATCCCAGGGTTTTAATGCAATGCAAACTGCCATCAACAAAGCTCCACCTTGCCCTTGTTATGAATTTCAACAAAGAACGTTATCTCACCAAAAACACATATCAGTCTGTCAGAAGTAAAGACTTCTAACACTGTAAAAGTTCAAGTTGGTCCCCAAAGCCTGCATGTTTTATTCCCTACAGCACTCCTGAGAGGATGGTTGGGTTACGCAGCAACACAAGAAGATTGTACTGTTGCTGTTGTTGTTAAGTGCTGTCAACCGATTTCCTATGTATTAGCAACCTCCTAAAAGTCCTGTCATCTGCTCAGCTCTTGCAAACTCAAGGCTGCGCCTTCCTTTACTGTGCCAAAGTACTAAAGCACACAAAATATATAATTTATTTCTAATGAATGCCTTTCAAACAAAAGCCAAGTACTTCATACTGATACACTTAAAACTCAGGAACTGCAAAATGTTATTGTTAGCAAATGCTTTTCTGCACAGGAAACAGAATCTTGTTATCGCTTGTTATGCATGGTTTTTTTTTAAATTCAGATGACTTCTGCCCACCTAAGAGACGTTGAAGAGACAGCTTAGTGCTGAATTGGTTGGTAAAATGGTTTCTCAAAGGAGGGAAGGGAAAGGAATTGCTGTATCAACAGCAAAGGTGCAAAAGGTCAGCTACAGGCATCACTACAACATTGCACCTCTTATTTACATACAAGGCAGAACTGGGTGTAACTCATGCTTCTCTTACCTGTGATGTGCCCATTGTGTTCTTTCAGTTCATGAGCTTTCACCCACTGGTTCCCATTCTTCTTATAGATGTGAACTTCATGGTTATTAGGACTAATGGCAATCTCTGCCAAGAGAACAACTGATTAATATAATGATCAGTTGTGGGGTTTTTTACATCAGTCTTAGATCGTTGCCCCATACTTTATTTATCTCCCATAGGAAGAGGCTTTCCAAGTAAAAGTAATGTATTGCAAATTAAAGCAGAAAACAATATATGCAGACTAAAAATATAACATATACCTATGGCGCAAAACCAAAATGCATAATGTAGAAGCACCAATGTAAAATCAATGATCATCCAATGATTTAACACAGGTCAGGGAAAAAAGGAGGATTACTTTTAAGTTTCCAAAGTGCTTTTGAATTACAGTGTCTATAATCTCTTGCTACTGATGATACTAGGGCTGATAGGAGTTGTGAATCAAAACATCTGTAGAACCAGCAGTATTTATGGTTTATTTATTTCTGTATTAACTAGGCATTACACTGGGGCTGCACATGGCATAATCCCGGTGGCTTCCCCCAGACCCTGGCAGAACAGAATCTGTAAGGAACACTCTGCAGTGAAAACAAATTACCTATCATACCATCCATTGGAATCCAAGGCTAATGTAGGCAGAACAGAAACACAGAAGGAATAAAACACTGGGAGCTTGGAGTTGTAAAGGGAAGGCACCAGGTAATTAAAAAAAAAGCAGCTTCCCTTTGCTGCTAATTTCAGTGCAACCTGCTGCTTTTCTACAATACTGTTGCTATTGGGACCAGAGATATACAAATACGAATATCCTCACACAGGTGACATTAACAAGGGTCCAGCCCCATGGGGCCGGACAGTTCAATCACCAATCTAATGCGGACAGCGCAATTCTATGAATGGTCCCGCAGTGTGCAATCTGCTCGTCACTCCTCGACCTTGTAGTGAGGCTTGTCCTCCCACCTCCTGCCAGGAATGGCGAGAGGATCATGTGCTGCAGAGCCATTCATAGAATTGCGCCGTCCACATCCACAGCAGATCAGTGAGTGAACCATCCGGCCCCATGGGGCTGGACCCTCATTAACGACACCTGTGCGAGGATATTCGTATACAAATACCCACATCTATAATTGAAACTGCTTTACGTTTAGTATAATACATCTAGTTTAACCTCAATGTTCACTGACCAAATGAAAGGTATATAGAAAGCCCTTCACACACAAACTTTGTACAAAAGTTCTATCAGTGTCAACACAGCATAGTGCTAAATACCTAGTTATGTGAATTTTACAGTCAGGTTAACACTGCTAGATAATTGAAGAATCTGTAGCCACATGAATTAAAGCAGTTTAACAAAGAAGACAGTACTTACGAGTTCTATCTCTGTTCCATGCATGGCAGGTTATTGGTTCTAGTAAAAACTGGTGTAGGGACATTCTGAACAAGAAATGGTCCTTTTAAGTCTCAAGCAGGACAAAGCTGAAAGGAACAAGGGACAATGCTTTAAATCCAATGTACCTGGAAAAATAATTGTATACTCAACAACAAGTATTTAACTGGATTGTTTAAATTCTGACTGTTCGTGGAACGTAAAACAAGCACTTCACTAACACATATCCATTGGGGGGGTGGAGGTGGGGGAAATCAGTTATTTAGAAGAAACCCCTTACTGCATTCATATAAATTTAGTAAGAGGCCTAAATCAGTTCACAGCTGTCACTGCAACATCTCAGGAAAAACTCACACAACTGAGCTAACTGATATGATCTGCCAAGATTTCAATGTGAAACTTCTATTTAGTGACACCACAGTGCGGAGATTAAGCCAAGGAGACCACACCCTAACATTTCAAGTGAATGGAGACAAGTTTCATTTTGTCACCCAAGATCAACTGAGTGATCACACCTGGAAGTTTGAAACTACTGAATCATCTTAATGTGCATGTCAAATCAATGATTATCAGGGACTGAAATGTGCAAAGACACCAAAAGATAAGAGGTACAATGGAACAATGGAACATGGTTGTTGTGGGTTTTTCGGGCTCTTTGGCCGTGTTCTGAAGGTTGTTCTTCCTAACGTTTCACCAGTCTCTGTGGCCGGCATCTTCAGAGGATAGCACTCTGTGCTCTGGAACAGTCACATCATTTGCAATTAGAGCTGAAGTTATCTATGTTCCTGCTCAGCTACACACTTATTAAGGAAACAGTTACCAATGAACAAAGAAAATGCTTACGGTTACCAATGAACAAAGAAAATGCTTTTACACTGCCTATCTGAAAGGAAAATACTACCATGTTTCCCCCCAAATAAGACAGGGTCTTATATTATTTCTTGCTCCAAAAATACATTAGAGCTTATTTTCAGGGGATTTTCTTTTCATGTACAACAATCTACATTTATTCAAATACACTCATGTCATCATCTTCTGGTTGCTGCACAAGGGTGGAGGGCTCGGTTTCACTTAACTAGAGCTTATTTTGGGGGGTAGGGCTAATATTATGAGCATCCTGAAAAATCACACCAGGGCTTATTTTCAGGCTAGGTGTTATTTTCGGGGAAACAGGGTAGTGATGTCATCACAAGGCATTCACACGCATGGAACGCAATGTACATCAGCTTTGTAGTTAAACACTCACCTAGTGGCCAAGACAAGCAGCAGGTGAGTGTGTGCTGTCATCTCTCAGTGCAACTGACCCAAGTTTCTAAGATAAGCATGAAGGAGGAAAAGCTCTTTCCTTCACACACAGCACAGAAGTCAAGTGTCCAAATCTTTTTGCTAATCAGCTTTTTGACCCTCCTCTGCCAGCCACTTTTGAGTAAAATACTAATTGTGTGCTGCCAGGTTAATTCTCCACCAACACTACTGGATTTTCCACAAATAAAATACTCTGAAGTGGTGTACCAATCTCTCCTCCTGATAGGACTCAGGGACTCTGCAGTTTGCCCAAGGCACAGGGCATGTAACTCCATCGGTCACACATACTCTGGATTATCCTGATTATAGATATGGATGAAGTGCTGCAATAGCTCAATGGGTTGGAGCACCCAACAGTGAAGAGATGGGGCAAGAGTTTCAATTGCTGCTGCATCTCCTGGGAGGTGAGCCAGCCAAGATCACTGAAGTGTTGCAAGAAAGAGGGATTCATAAACCATTTCTGAATGTTCTATATCTAGAAAAATGAAGGGGTTGCCATTTAGTTGCTATGTGTCTATGTTTATTGGTACGCTAATAATTTCAGAGGGATTCTCAATAGGGCTAAGCTTCTCTAAACTATAACCCACTTTCTCATATATGTTGTATTCATAGCTCCTTTTATTATTCAAAACAGCAGAGGTGCCAGCGGTAAAAGGAGGCAGATCCCTGTTCCCAAAGAATGCCAAATTAAAACAGAACAAAGAACAGAGATAAAAGGTGAACGCAACCACGTCCTTCTATATCCTTCTTGACTGTCCTACTTCACAGGACTGTTGTTGGGATAAAGGAAAGCAAAGAGAATCATGAACACCATGTTCAAATTGCTATTGGAAAGGAATAAAAAGTTAAATAAATGTAAGATAAATAAATATTTCTGACATAGAAATAAACAGACAACCGTGAACTTTTTAGAGCAAAGGCATATACATCCGAAGGGAACACTACAAATTAGTGACCTCACCATATATCAGAAGCCATCTAACAGCACTTGACAGGTATTCATATAACATTTATGTTTTAATTTTATATATGCATATAATGAGAACTAAACTGCACTTCAATCAGCTTTTTTTCTGGATCCAATTCAGTTAATCACTAAACTATATATACTGCATATGCTTATAAGGGTGATTTACAAACAAACATCTCAGTTTTAGAGGAGGCAGGTGTGTTATATTGGAAAGGAATAAAAAGTTAAATAAATATAAGATAAATAAATATCTCTGTGCGAGCATAGCAGGCAAATTCCAAAGAAGACAAAAACATGGGGCACCTTAAAGACTATTATATTTTAATGGGAGCTTTTGTGGACACCTCCCCAAAGAGGAGGCAGGTGTGTTACTCTGTGCGAGCATAGCAGGCAAATTCCAAAGAAGACAAAAACATGGGGCACTTTAAAGACTATTATATTTTAATGTGAGCTCGCATTAAGATATAATTGTCTTTAAATATGTCCCATGTTTTCTTTTTCAGGAATATTTCAGCAGAGCATCATTTCAGCTTCTGCCTTCTTCACTGGGCTCTAGCAAAGCATGCTATTTCCTCGAGTTAATTTTATATGCATATATATACACACACACACACACACATATATATATACAGACATACATATATGTGTGTGTGTATACACACACACACACACACTTCCATGCCTCCGCTCTAAAAACGAGGGGTATGCGGAGCTGTGCTTTTTTGGACCACAACTCCCATGCTGCCTGGAGAATTCAGACAGCATGGGAGTTGTAGTCCCAAAACCAGCCAACCCCAGGTATTCAGGGAGTTGCAATCCAAAAATCACACCGATTTAAGAAAGAAAAGCATAAATGGCTCTCGTTTTTGTGCAGTAGATAGAATCAGGAAGTAAACATCAATGGAAATGTAACAGGCAGAAAAAGAGAGGCTCGAAATGACGTTTGAAAGGGGGCGAGGGTGGAAAGAACTGGGGGTGCGGGATGGATACGTTGCAGGCTAGCACCCCCCCAAAAAAATTTGCCCTTTCCTTGTTTCCACACAGAGGTTTGGGGGCCCACAGTGTGTCCCCCTTCTGTCTCCTCCCCCCCGTGATTTATCCCCTCAGGAGAAGGAGCTTTTGCTCCCCCCGGGACGGAGGGCAAAGCTGAGGGGGCCGCCAGCCTCCTTCCCCCGCCTTTCACTCACCTTCGGGGGCCGAGGGAAGCGGGGTTCGCGGACTCTGGTCAGTCAACGCGACTCCGCCTCAAGCGCAGGCCCGACCTCTGATGAGGGAACGGAAAGGAAGGCACACCCCGCCCAGCCAGGCTTCCGTCTGGGACACAGTCCCCCCTCCTGCGCCTGCGCCAAGACGCGCCCGCCTCAGCGCGCCTGCGCCGAGGGAACCCTACCCACGGCTCCTCTTCCTCCTGCGCGAGCTCCATGCGAACTCCTCCCCTTACTAACCGGACTTCCCTGAAGAGAGGAGTGGGAGGGGAGAGTACTCTCACGCACTGCGCGTGCGCTAAAGCCTGGGTTTCCGCAGAGGGCGGAGAGGCTTTTCCCCCCCACCCCTCCCTTCTCAGGGGTTCTCTTGCTTCACTGCGTCTGCGCGAGCTAGGGTGGGCGTGGGAACGATGTTTTATATTTGGTAGTAGTGCCCTAAGAAGCGGGGACGGGGGGGCGTGGTGGAGCGAGGCTCTTCCCTCCAGTGCGCATGCGCGGGCCTGCCAAAGAGGCTGGAGATGGTGGGAGCAAGGATTGGGGTGTGTGAATGGAGGGGTGTGTAAGGAAGGACGCGTGTCATGTCTTGCATGGTACTGATCTGCACCTTTTTTTAAAAAAATGCAACACACACACACACACACACACGTGTCAACCCCACCCATGAACCCAGAGCCTGCTGTAGACTAAGGCAAGGACTGGCCTAAACTCAACCCGAATCGTTACTATAAATCAAGGATGCGAATCAATCTCAGACCAGCCGACGCCCAGGGTGCACATCCTACACAACCCTGTGCCAACTCACAGTGGATGAAATACATCAGGCTACACACCGTTGCTCTTCACAGTGTGTTAGGGTGTCAATATGCAGCGACAGACACCTGAAAATGTTGGCCTTTATCCCCCCCATGATGAAACAGAATGTGAGCGCAGGGCCCACATTCTGTTTTGGAGAACAGCATCCATCAGCCCCAGCCAGCCAAACTCATAGCAAGGCCAATGGGAATTGTAATTCAAAACACCCTGAGCCGCAGGAAGCTACCCTAAGAACAGGGGTGGGATTCGCCATCAGGTCAGATTGAAGTCACACCAACGACTTGACTCGGGTTTTTTTAAATGACTTTGGCTCAACTTGTGACTCAGAACCCCCCCCTCCGACCCTTCTCTTTTTTTCTGTTTTTAATAGGGACTCAGGACTTAAAGCCCAGACCCCAAGACTTGCCAACATCCTTGCCTAAAAATAATCAAGTATCAACTGCTGGAGACCTCAGTGGTTTAGATGTTTGACTGCGGAGCCCGAATTTGAGAGTTCGATTCCCCAGTGGTGCCTTCTTGACAGAGGCTGGACTTGATGATCTACAGGATCCCTTCCAGCAGAGCAGTTCGAAAATGATGAAGATGCTCCAGGTCTGTTGACTGCACTAGGATGAACAAATTGTCCAGTCAAAGTTTTTCTTTCTTTAAAGAGGCACGGAAAAGGTTTAAACAATATTCTTGGTCTCAGCTGAACTCTGTAGGACCTGCTTTTCAGCAGACACATGCAGGTGTGCCTTTTTCAAAAATCCCATCAGAGAAGTGGGTAAAATATGACACCAAAGGCCACACACCATGAATGCCAGCCCTGTTTCTGCACTGAGAGGAGGTGGCAGTGGTGGGGAATCCAACTTTTAAATTTTTTTTTCTAGCAGATTAAAGCTTTTGCAACTAGGTCAGCTAAAAATTGCACAACTGGCATGCCGCTGCACGTTAATACAGTTTTATCTTTCTAAAGGTCTTTTGCTACAGAGGGGAAGGGGGAAAGCCGGCATGAGCTGTATCTACCCCTCCCTTAGCCCCAGCTGGAATTTAGAGGTTTTAAGGCACTAAACCGTAGTCTGCAAAATATGTTGAACGTCACTCTCTCAACGTTTTGCGCTCATGTTCTGTCTCTGGAATAAAGGAACATGTTGAAGGATGTAGGAGTGCAAAAAATCCTCGGCATGACTACATGACATCAATGCGGCTGGGTTAACTCTTACGCTGCGTAGCCATATGTGGCTAGCATAATTCTTAACAGAACAAAGTCTTCTCAGCTGAGAATCTGGCTCACTAGCTGGGAATGTAAAACATGCGTGACAGACGTTTTATTTGTTGTTTGATTGATCTGGGCTTAGTGGCAAAGAGAAAAGCCAGGGTGTGGTGTTCAGACACTACAAGAAGCAAAACATGGTTGTTTGTTCAGGTGTTCCTGCTGGCACCAAATGATAAACCAGGGTTTCCTAGAAATAGGCCAGAATCCTGTTGCATTAAGTAATCAAGTAACAGCAATCACATAAACAATGGGAGATTGTTTGCTCTCTGACGGTCACACACATTGTAGTTCTCTAGTTGCACCTGGCAAACCACAAAAAAAAAACGCACTTGCATGCATGGTGTTTCATAATTGATTATTAGACCATACGTATTTCCTTCTGTGTCATCAACCACCTTGGGAATTGGACTTCCATCTCGGCCCTGCATCCTAATCCCCGAGACGTCAGGGCCAAAGCAACTGAGACCAAGGGGTAGACCCCTGTGATGTCACAGAGGAAAGGCTGGAAGAGAAGCAGGGCCAACTTACACATAAACAGCTTTGTGCTAAGGCAGTGGCCCTGGGGTCAGCGTAACTCCTATTGGCTTAGCCCAAAGGAGTGGGACTAGGATAGAGCAGGGCTGTGAGTAAGAGATTTGAATCAGAAAGAGCAAGAGAGCTGAAAAGGCCAGAGATGTAATTGCTAGTTAAACTGTAAAAACCCTTGTCAACTTGGTATAATTCCTATATGTTTGTGTTGGAGGGGTGAATCCACATAGTGAATTCATAAATTGCATACAATTGAACTGATATTTTAGAGTTTCGAAGATTCCACATGTGGAGATGATTCTTCTAGGTATTGGACACCCAACCCTGTTGAGGAAGAGGTCTTGAATTTTTCATCTGAATTTGAATTCAAAAGGTTTTGCAATTGTGCAGGCAACTTCATCATTGGTGCTGCTGCTTTGGATTTGGGAGCACCAATTGTAGCACGTTGCTGTTATTATTGCTCGTGTTGTCTGTTACATACGCGATTCCCGGAGACCCCCAGCGGATGCTCGACTCTTGTCTCCTCTGTTTGGGAATCGATCTGATGGGTGAGCTTGCTGAAAGGAAATAAACCCTTCTAGAGAACCAGCAGCATCTCAGGGGATCCGCTTTGGGCGCTACCCAGCAAGAAATAACCTTTCAAGGATCATTTCCCATGGAACCAAGCTTTATTAAGACTAAGCGTTAAGACTATTTGTGTTGTGCAAAGTATTTACAAGAGACAGCTCAAGCCACACCTTTGTTCACATTTTCCATCCTTGACATGAAAATGCATTAAAATCCGACTACCTCCAACTCACAAATCATTATTTCGAGATATCCTTCCCAGGAAAGTAAAATGTAAAATTGAAAGGAAACACCAGGATTCAAGTTCCTGGCATGATGCGGATACTCAGAAGATGCTGCCCACGTCTCTCCTGCCGACACTCAAGGTTGCTCGTCACGCCCACCTTCCTCTTTCTATGATGCAGGTCTCTTTCTCTGTAGGCTTGAAGCTGCTCCAATTAGCACTACTTGTAGCAATTTCCCAAGAGGGCAGCTGCCTGAAGATGCTTTGCCCATCAGCCTGTAAAGAAAAGCAAGTGATTTAGCTTGGAAAAGGTGGGACGAGACATGGAGGGTCAAGAGAAGAGGAGGAGGAAGGGCACCAAACAGAATCCAAGTCAGAAAAAAAAGAGGAAGTACCTAGAAAAGTATCCCATCAAGGAAAGATCAAAATGAAGCAGAAAAACAAAAAAGAGATCACCATTTCCTATACTTGGGTAATATTCTGTTTGGACTACCGTAATACGCTATATAGGGGACGGCCCTTGAAGACTCTTTGGTACCTTCAGTAGCTTCCGTTTACAGGAGGTAAAGTACTGACTGGAACAGGCTTAGAAGTGTTTGTTTTACCAGTCTAGAAACAATCAAGGTAAAGTACTGACTGGAACAGGCTTAGAGGTGTTTGTTTTACCACTGGCTCCTGCTCTGTTTCCAAACCCAATTCAAGGTACCACTTTTGATCTCGATTCAGGATGGTCCAATGGGTAGAACGAGGGGGGCTACGGATCTCTTGAAACAGGTGGGCAACTTCAGCAATGTTGAGAAGGACCAACTTTACAATCCCTACACCCCTCCGTGGCCTGCACCAGCCCAGGAAATGCTTTTTAAAAAAAAAACATCCTAAAATGCAAGTAATCATACATCCACTATTAGGGATTTGCCACACAGCTTTGTTTGGAGGCCAACCCTCAGAATTCTTTCTGGGATACAGGCAGAATTCAGGGAATTCCGGCCCACACCCTCACGCCTACATTTTTGCTCACCTGGACCAAGGCCTAGCTCCACAGCTGCCTGGCTGGCCCAGGCCTTGCTTCCTGTACAAAAACGAAGTGGCCGCAGTGTTTCTTGGGAGTGGTAGTCTTGCTGCCCTTTAGAGCCTATAGAGAGCACCTCCCAAAGAACTACAGCACTCAGAGACACACAAACACACAGCCATAAAAGTAGGCACACCTACCAGCTGCAGGTTTGGCGAGGAAGGCTCTATTCCTCTGCCACAGACTTGGAACTGGCTGATTTGGACACCTGGATAATCTCCACAGAGGTGACTGCTTTGCCAGCTGCAACCCGGTGCCTGGTACGTAGCTTGTTGAGAGCTGACTCAGCCATCCCGGCTCTCTCCTCGGCATCATCCAGCTCATGCACAGTCTTCCGGTATTTGGCAAGGCTCTGGTTAGCCTGTTCCTCCTGTAGAAAGTTAAGAACAAGAAGCATTTGGAGCACAATTAACATGGACAGAATAGGAGGTCGGGAAATAGGGACCAAGAAGCAGATTTGAGGCATCGTAAAAAGGCAGCAGTTATTGGAATGATGCATGGAGAGGCAAGATTTGTTCTCAGTAAAAAGGCAGCAGTTATTGGAATGATGCACGGAGAAGCAGGACCTGTTCTCAGTCCTCCCAGAGTGCAGGACACACAACAATGGGATCAAGTTGAAGGAAGCCACAGTCGGGCTAAATATCAGACAACAATGGGATCAAGTTAAAGGAAGCCACAGTCTGGCTAAATATGTCTGAACTGTTAGAGCAGTACGACAATGGAACCAATTACCCCGGGAGGTGTTGAGCGCTCCAACACTGGGGCATTCAGGAGAAGATTGGACAACCTGGGGGCATTCAGGAGAAGATTGGACAACCTTCTGCATATCTGCTTTGATTTGGATTCCTGCACTGCGCACAGAGTTGGACTCAACAGTCTTATAGGCTCCTTCCAACTCCATTATTCTTTGAGCAGGCACTTTGATTTTAGAGAAACAATAACAATTTACAGCCCTATCTCAGGCACTCTGAGGTCTTGGCCTGACTCCACTAGGGATTCTCTTGAGTTAGAAATAATCAGCTGTGGCCATTCAGTTGTTGCTGGGCTATAACTCCTGTACGTCTTCTCCAACAGGATTTTCCAGATAGGATTACAGGAGGTTGCAAGTCAACAACCTCTGGATGGCCTCAGATTGCCCACCCATGCCATGGGTAGGGTTTGTAGGGATGGGTGGAAATACTGCCGGAGGTCACAATACATACAGCTTCTTCGATTTGTCTCTTGTATGTCTTCAGCTTGCTCTGCAGCTTCTCCACCAGCTCCTGCATGCGTTGGTTGGTCTTGTGGTCCTCCTCTGTTTGAAAGACCAGCTCTTTCAGGCGCCGCTCGTTCTTCTGCAGGACTTTCACCGTCTCCACGTGGCGCTTCTGCTCAGAGTCCAGGTCTGTCTCCAGCTCCTTAATCTGAAAAAGAGGAAGTTAGAGGTTCAGACTCTCAAGGTTCAAGATGCCCATGTAGTCTAGAGAGGCAACGAAAGCGACAGACAAGCGCTTGGAGGACTCAAGAGTCATCTTGTGTCTGAATGCAGTCCAGACTTGAGGGAGAGTCGAATACCTATGGGAGTATTAAACCAGGACTGGTCTGTTGGTGTCACCTGATTCCACAAAAGAAAGAGAATTGTGCTAGTCCTAGCCAGGTCAACCCCACAAGATCCTGACCAGTTCTTGGAGGACATTACCCAATACTCAACTAGATGGCCCAGGGGATTCTGGCCAGTTAACCATGCAAAAGTACATTCTTACTCTGGTTTCAAGTTTCATGATGGTGCGTTTCCCTCCTTTCAGGGCCAGCTGCTCTGCTTCTTCCATCTTGATCTGCAGGTCTTTGATGGTGACCTCGTAGTTCTTCTTAATCTTCTCCAGGTGCATGCAGTGATCCTGTTCTTGGCGCAGCTCTTCCGCCATACGGGTTGCCTAAACGGGATTTGCAAAACAGGACAGAGGGATCGCACAGGTAGCATCTGATGTCAGAGCGCAACAGGATGAGCTTAGATCCAACCCAGTGGAGGGAGGAGAACAAGGGACAATCAGGTGTGTGTATATACCAATGCCATGGGACAGCAAAAGGAGTATAGGATGCCCATATGGGTACAGAATCTGGCTTTCTGATTTTCCCCACTTTCCATTTCTTAAAGCAAGCTTGTGGTCTTTATGCTATAAAAGTGGACAAGTAATGCCTGCTGATACCTTAGAAGCCAGAAGGTATTGGAAGAAGGATTTCTAGTGGCTAAGGAGCACATGGTGGCTTTAAGACACTGCCTTGCACACATGCACTAGACATGGAGGGAGAGAGAGAGGACTCACATCAGCCACCGCCTTCTTGGCTTTCTCGTCCGCAGTCCGGAACTCGCTGATTAGCTCCTCGTGCTCGTTAGTGATACGCACCAGATCTGATTCCAGTTTGCGCTTGATCACCAGCAGGCTTTGGTTCTGCGAAGGGAAGAGAAGACTTCTCAGTGACCCAGCCGTATCTCCTGATGCAGCCATGGAAAGAGGACAACCTGGACAGATGGTTCTGGATCCCACACCCACAGCGCAACCAGGTTCTCCATAAGACAGATGGTGTAATGCTCAGAACCTTGGTCCAGGACTTGAGAGGTGGCCCTTTGAGTCCCCAACAGAGGTGCAAAACTCATTTTAGAGACCCTAGGCCAGTTGTTCTCTCTTAAGTCGGTCTCACGTGGGGGAAGAGAAGAGTGCCTTGAGCTCTCTGGGAAAAGGCAAGACAGGAACGGGAGGGACAAAACAGATAAATGGACGCCACCTGGACATTCAGTTCGTTGTGCCGTTCGGAGACCTCCATCAGCTCCTGCTCAAGGAGTTTGCGTGAGCGCTCGCTGCCCTCCAGGCCTGTGCGCACTTCGTCCAGTTCAGTCTGGAGGAGGCTCAGGCGGCGCTCCTGCAGGTTGTACTGCTCACGGAGCTCCTCGTGCTGACGAGCGTCTTCGTCCATCTGAATCTGGAGATCCTGTGGCCAGAAAGATTAGGAGAAATAGCACTCAACCTCAACACTTTCTCTCTTAGAGAACTGCGCCTAGCAGTTTTTTTACTTTTGCTTGTTCCAGTCTCTTCCCCCTGGATCGACTGGTTTTGAATTTGCTTTTCCTTCTTACTTTGATCTGCTGCTGGAGCTTCTTCAGGGTCTTGACCAGCTCGCTGTTGTTCTTATTGGCATGGTCCAGCTGAATCTCCATTTCGTTCAGGTCCGTCTCCATCTTCTTCTTCAGACGGAGCGCCTCGGCCCGTCCTTTCGCCTCCAGCTCTAGGCTGGACTGGAGGGACTCAATCGCCCGCTGGTGGTTTTTCCTACAAAGGCGTAAGCAAAGTGTCCGTTCCAGCACCTTGCAAGGCAAGGCGCCCCATCGTTACACAGAGAGAGGCCGTGCGCTCAAACACATGCAGAACATGACCTGCGTCCTCCATTGTCACAGCCCGGGGTACCCCTAGAGCTCAAAAAATAATACATTTCAAATAACATAATGATTTTGGGGGTGGGGTGGTAATTAAAAATTTCAGAACTAATAAAAGGAGAATATTCTGCCAATCATACATAATGCTCCTGAAGCTACTTTGCGTGGTTTCTTCAAGTTTTTCCCCCCAAGACATTTGGTGTGGTCTTTTTGAAGTATTATGGCTAATTTTTATTCATTCTAAGGTTTTTCTCACGAAACAGTAACAAACACCAAGCAGTGCCAACGCACTGAGTCAGTCTTCTAGGACTGGAACGAGGGAAGAACGAAAAGCTTTCTAAACCTCTGTAATAGGAATGGATTACTTTTGTCAAGTAACTTCCTAAGGTCAGACCTCTGGGTATAGAACTGTAGCCTCAGCTTTTGCTTTGATGATGGTTTAGTTTCATTGGCTCTTCCTGTCCCATTTTGACCCTTTCTTAGGTGCTCCTGGGCAATGTGTTGGTTTTTTTTTTTTTTGAAAGCTTAAACCTTCCACTTCCTACCTACGCATAGGAACCCAAGTAGCTCAGTGGTTTCGGCATCTGGCTGCGGAGCCAGTGGTTGGGCGTTTGATTCCCCTACTGGGCCTCCTTGACAGCGACTGGACTTCGATGATCCATAGGGTGTCCCTTCCAGCTCTACAATTCTAAGATGATGACGATTCCCTGCAGGCTTTTGAAAGCTTAAACCTTCCACTTCCTACCTACGCATAGGAACCCAAGTAGCTCAGTGGTTTCGGCATCTGGCTGCGGAGCCAGTGGTTGGGCGTTTGATTCCCCTACTGGGCCTCCTTGACAGCGACTGGACTTCGATGATCCATAGGGTGTCCCTTCCAGCTCTACAGTTCTAAGATGATGACGATTCCCTGCAGGCCGCCCATATTCTCTATGCCATACCTGGTGGCTTCAAACTCTTCCTCCTTCTCATGGATCCTCCGGTCAATGTCAGCTTTGACTTGGGCTAACTCTAGCTGCAGGCGGATGAGTTTGCTTTCCTCCACCTGTTGGAAAAATAGGGGGGGGAAGGCGGATGAGTTTGCTTTCCTCCACCTGTCAGAAAAATAGAAAAAAAAGACATGTGGATGATGAACCCTTGATGACAATGTATATTCTACCACTCTGGGCAGCTTACAGTATAATCATGTGGATGATGAACTCTTGATGACAAGGACGCCTATCAGAACCAGAAGCCTATCGGACATAGCTTGGACAAGCTAGTATTTATCTAGAAAGCCCTTCACCATTCAGGGCCCTGCTACTCGTAGGAGCATTTTCCCCCTAAGAACATCAGCCCACGCCACGCGATCCGCACAGGCTGCGCTCCTACAGGCTGCCACTCTGAGAGAGGCCAGAAAGACATCCATAAGAAACCGGGTCTTCTGAGATGTGGCACCATCTCTATGGAATGGGATCCTGATGGGGCTGCGCCTGGGCCCCCCTCCCTCCCTGCCTTTCAGAGGATGCTAAAAATGTTAGGAAAAGCTTTTAGGGACAACCTCGGTTAAATGCTTTTCTAGAATTTGGCCACCATCTTGCCCTTGCTTGGGCCTGCTTAGTTTCCTATATCATTGTATTTTCTTGATTTCTCAGCTATTGTGCTTTGTTGGATGATTGGCTGTCTTTCTTGTTATATTACATTTATATCAATTGTTTTGTTTTTATGTAAACCGACTAGAGTAATGGCCAGCACTAACTGGGTGGTATTTAAGACTCAGACATACAGACATGTATTTACTATAACTCCCTGGGCCAGCATAGCTGATGGGTCAAAAAAGGTACCTTAAACATTTCAGATAGAGTAGGAAGATGATGATGAAGATGACGAGGAGGACCCAGCTGTTCTTTATCTAGTGTCTTAAGGTGCTCAGAGCACTTAAAACAGACTGACAAGTGAAACCCCAGGCAGATGAAGAAATGCCAAGCTAAGCTGTTTGTAACAGGGTTGAAGTCAGCTGGACATATTAGAGACAATGGCTTCTTTTGTTACCTCAAGGGAAGCCTCGGCTTCCTCCAGAGCCATCTGCAGCTCGTCCTTCTCCACCTCCAGCTTCTTCTTTAACTTCTGCAGCTCGTGGACGCTCCTCCCGCCTTCGCCCAGCTGGTCAACAAGATCTTTGATCTCCTCTGAGGAAAGGGGAGACACCCAGTCAAGGAGATCCTGTGAAGATCTTTCAATGTGGCGAACAAATTCAAAACTTCGGCAAGTTAGCTTTCGGATTCTAGCTCCCAGAATTTCCCATGGTAGCATGATGGAATCCAAAACTCATCATTATTTTGCTTTCGAGTGCTGATTAATTCCCAGGGCAACCAATGATCACCATGGTACTTGATCCAGGAGAGAAGGTCTGTTTGTTTGAGAGCATTTAACCCTCTTGGCACCATCAAATACGCCTCTGGCCCCAGTGTGCATGCAGAGAAGTGGGTTTTGCAGCTTCCCCTACATGGCTTTTCTATCTCTGTGTGCTGCCAAAAATGTATGCAACATGATGGTCCTACCACCTGCAAACAGCTGGACCACAGAGCAGCCTCATATTGCACAACTCAGCTAATCTGGGCATTCAACCAGAATCCTGCCTGAAGCCCCAGAGAGCCACTGCTGGGCAGAAAAGGGTTGGCAAACGCACCCTGTTGTTCTGCAGGCACTTGGGAGTACAGCTTCCGCTTGCCCTGGCCAGTATGGGCATTGGGCAAGAAGGATGGGCAGACCATGTATGTGCATAACATCTGGAGGGACACCATGCTGCCATGGGGTGAGCCCAAGATGGCAAGTGGCTGACACGAAACATCCTCCAGGGGTGAGCCCAAGATGGCAAGTGGCTGGCATGAAACATCGTGTGACTCCCCATGATGAAAAACAAGATTTTGTTCATTTCTTCTTTCTAAACATGGTTATTTCTCCCATTTACAAGATTCACAGGGTTCTGAAGTAGCAGGTTGATGGCTGTCTACCCCCCTGCAAAGATAGCATGGGCCTTTTTTTTTCCTTGCATGGCAGGGCGAGGATTTGGAAAGGGTTGGGGAAGAGGTGTGGCATGCCGGGGTTTGACCCCCACCATCCGCAAGGTGGCTCACTCAGTGGTCTCAGCAAAGCCTAGAAAAATCTCGTTTTCTGGACCATTACTAACAGAATTCTGGGAAAGTTTGCATAGCTTTGCAGCATGCAGAGTAGCCAGAATTCCATGTTTCAGGCAACTTTATCAGAATATCAGGAAGCATTAAAGTTTCTATCTTCTTTCACCTGGAGGCATTTTATTCCAGATGCATTGTGGGAGTCAACATCTAAAAAGATGCAAATAAATAACAGGGAGCTTTTTCCCATGCTTCATGGTGTCATGCTAGCCCAGGACCACCACCACCGCCCCCCAGCTTCCTGGAGATACTTGCCCTGAAGGGTCTTGTTCTCCTTCTTGACGGATTCCAGGTGCTCCAGAGCTTCCTCGTAGGCCGTCTTGAGCTTGAAGTTCTCCGTCATGTACATGCGGCACTCCTTCTGGGAGTTGTCCACCTCCAGCTGCAGCTCCTCACACTTCTGCTGCCACTCGGCGAGCATCTTGTCAAAGGCCCGCTGCTTCTTATCCAGGGCTGCGCAGGCGGCGTTAGCCTGGAAAGGGAGAGGAAGCCACCATGAGTCCCACACTCTGCCGACAGCCATCGGCCAGCGCTCCATGGTTCAGCGGGGAGCAGTTCACTGGGCCAGCTGACTCTCCCGGAGCCCTTTCGGGTGGATGATTAAACGACCGTCTTGTTAGACACAACGGGTTGCCCGTCCTCCACTGAACCAGGTCTCCCTTTCTCCAAAGACTATGAAGCAAACCGGAGACTCTGGAAGAAGGAGCTCACTAGATCTTCAACCATTTTAATTTTATTCTCATGAGGAGAGAAGCCTGGTTTCCAATCCGCTCTCCCTGTTTAGCTCTGTTCTTTTCCCAAAACAACAGAGCAACTGGTAATGCCTCACTTTCTATGCATCTGTAACCAGCAACATTTATCGGCTGTTCTTTTTTTGGACCCATTGATCCACAATAATCATCATCCCCAGCCAGCACAAGAGGATGTGGGGTATCAATGGCAGCTGATAATGTCTAGGTTCCTCATAAAATTCCAGTGTGAGGCAGGTCCCTCCGTCTAGTCAAGTTCTCAACTCCTGCTTTGTTGGTCGGTGTCTGTGGAATGACAACACCTCTCAGCCTGGATTTAATCGGTGCAGAAGCTGAACAGCTTCAGTCTCTCCTCGTCTTGTAGAAGTCAGATTTATTTGGCATTTGAACAGACCAAATGAGCCATCCCACCCCCCCAAAAAAAGAGATGTTAAACCGTTCCTGAGACCTCTCTTTGGGAAATTTCCTCGGCATGGAGAAAATGGTCATGGAACGGCATGTGACATATCCAGCCATTTCTAGCCTGCTGCCCTCCAAGTGTGTTGTACTACAATCACCCCCATTGCTCTGGGGACAATGGGACCTGGAGTTCAACCTACATGGAGGGGAAGGCTGACTTGAAATGATCACAAGGGGTTATTTAGAGTCTCCATCTACTTGTATGATATAATTTATGACGCCATGTGGGTTTCTGTGCTTGCCTTCTTCTATCCACCATATTCACACCGGAGGTGAAGAAAACCCCTTTAAAAAAAACCAAACAAACTACAACTCCCAGGATCCCTCTAAGAGTCGTAGCCCAAGAAAATAACTTTTTAAAGTTCTGACTCACACAGGTTAGAGTGCAAGCATGATCAGCAGAAATGAGCTTGAAAAGGAATACAGATCAGACAGCGCCAGGGGAGGAAAAAAATCATAAATGAGAAAAAGACACCCAGCAGCACGGCCGGACCCGGTCACCTTCTCTAGATCTAGAGTGAGGTCTTCCACTTCCATCTGGAGCCTCTGCTTGGTCTTCTCCATGCTGGCCACGCGAGCTTGAGCTGCTTCGGCGGTCTCCTCCGCTTCCTGGAGCCGGGCAGTCAACTTCCTCCTACAAGAAGAGGGCTGGATGAGAAGAGGGCCAAGCCAACACTCCACGGAGGGCGGTGGAGCTGACTCGTACCAAACACAGAGCATTCCTTAGGAACCAGGGGTGCTCCTCCCCCAGGGCTCAGGTTTGATGGGAGGTGAAGCAACATCTGGAGAACCAGAGGGTTCCTTCACATGGACCTTCCTCCTCTCCGTTCTTCCAGAAGATAAGGGACAGGGAACAGCTGGAACTCCTTGATAGCATCACAATGTCACTCCCTTGTTGCTGCACTCATGAGACAGGCGAACAAGAGGGAAGAGGTCTACTGCAGGCAAGATGTTCTCTTCAGACCAAGGTGGCTCTAACCAACATGGCTTAAAGACCATGGATAGCTAAGCGGGATAAGCATCTGGCTGCAGAGCCAGAAGTTGGGAGTTCGATTCCCCCCACTGTGCCTCCTGGGAGTAGAGCCAGCCTGGGTAGCCTTGGGCAAGCTGCACCGTCCCAGGGCTCCCCCTAGAGGAAGGGAAAGGGGAACCACTTCTGAGTCTTCTCTATCTGGATAACCCTGAAAAGGGTCAGCTTAAGTCCGAATTGACTTGATGGCATATGATTATTATTCTAAGACCTTTCTCTTCAAGCAAGCTTTCCCTTAGGGACTAGCAGCCTGAGACGGCTTTTTTCAAAGGGATCATTGTGCTCTGTTGTTTTTTTAAATGCGTTTTTTTTTGTATCAATGCCATTGACTATTTTTAATATAATACTTGTTTGGTTCTTGTTTAATGTTTGTTTCCTTGCTGTTATTAGCTTTTAAACATTGTCTTTTAATAGTTGTGAGTCCTTTTAGGGAGATAGGTGGGCGGAAATATTTGAAAGAAATATTTGAAAGAAATAATAAAGATACGGAAGGACAACAGGGGAGGGCTCCGTTTTACCCCATATTTTCGTTTGGACAACATTAGAGATGACCAGAAAGTAACTTCTTAAAAATGCTACTGAGGAGTCCCTTAAGAGAGGATGGTATTCCCTGGAGGTATGGTTCTCCTCACAGCTCTCTCTTTCTAGTGATGGGAGAGTCTTCACAAAGGGGGCTCAGCAGGCTCTCTGCACCCCCCCCCGGGATGACACAAGTCACATCCTGCCCTGAGATCTCACTCACTTTGTCTCTTCCAGCTCCTCGGTTCTCTGAATGGCGTCCGTCTCATATTTGGTCCTCCAGGTGGTGACTTCGGTGTTGAGTTTGGAAACCAGGCGCTGGAGTTCGTTTTTCGCGGTTTGCTCTTCCTCCAGCTGTTCTTTGATGAGGTCCAGGTCATGTTTGGTGTTGGCCAAGCTGACCACCGCGGCACTGCGGGCCTGAAAGCAGCCAAACCGTAGCCACGTCAGCCACCGCCCGCACCTTTCATGCCCTCTAATTTAAAATGACTTTTCTTGCCCAAGCATAGGTTCTCTGCGTGTCCCACAGGGGGTTAAAGAAGGATAAAATGCCACGCAGAAATGTAACCCCCCCCCCCCAAAAAGCCATGTAGCAAATTGACTACAAGGGCATGGTAGGAAACAAGGAAATATCCAGGCACTCATTGAGATATTTCCCATAAGGAGAATCCAAAAACGCCATCAGCAAGGAGCAGGCTAGTTCAACAAATGAGATGCCGGTCTTTTGTCAAGTGAATGGCTCTTCATGGCCCATTCAAAACCTAACCATAGTCCAATACAATGGTGCCTCGCATTGCGACGTTAATTTGTTCCAGCAAAATCGCTGTAGAACGAAAACGTCGTAATGCAAAAAGAAAAAACCCATTGAAACGCATTAAAACCCGTTTAATGCGTTCCAAAGGGCTGTAAATTCACCGTCCAGCGAAGATCCTCCATAGGGTGGCCATTTTCACTGCCTGTGCAGCGAGGAATCCGTCCCAGAAAACAGCAGGGGGCCATTTTGTTTACCCAGAGGCCATTTTGAAACTGCCAATCAGCTGTTGGAAAATCGTCATTTTGTGAAGAATCAGTTCCCGATCATCACAAAGCGAAATCCCCCCATAGGAAACATCGTTTTGTGATCGCAAAAAGTTCATCGTAATGCGGTTTTGTCGTTAAATGGGGCAATCGTAAAGCGAGGCACCACTGTACTTTACATTCCAGCAAGGAATTCCGGAAGCTGAATTCCAACATCTGGGGACCCCTACTGGGGGATGGTTGGACTCACTGGTGCCAGCCAGCGTATGGAGAGGGGAGGCTCATACACAAGCAGACCATCTCCTATCATTTCTTCAGCTTCCTTTGGGATTGCATCTGTGGCAAGACAGCTAGAGAGCTGTTTCTTGCACTACCTTTTGTTTTTAAAATTCTCAGCACCCGGAGATCATGAAGACGTGAGGTCTCTGATGCACGAGGCCACCCCAGTTCATGTCCCATTGTCCTTCCTACCTTTGACTCTTCGTCCAGTTGCCTCTTGAAGTCATCCACCTGGGAGGTGAGGGAGGTCTTGACCCGCAGGACCTGGTTCAATCTCGTGTTGCTCTCCTCGTGTTCTCGGCTCAGCTCGCTGTTCTCCGCTGCAGGCCAGGAAAGAAAGCAAGCAAAGCTCTAGAGATGAAGGACCACAAAGGTGGCTCCATTACCCAAAAGCATGGAAACATGATCATGATCTGGACGACGTTTGGTAGAATTCCCCAGCTAGCATGGACACGGAGGATACTGGTTTATAGAGCCCCAAAAAGTAACTTTTCCAAGTTCTGTAGCTGCCTGCTTCCTTCTGGAAGGAAGCAAAACCACAGCATCTTTGGATCTGGAACCCAAAAAGCAGTCCTCCAGGATCTTTTGGATTACAATTCCCATTATGCCCAGCAACCGACCCTCCTGGCTCAACATGCCCCGGCTCCACTCCACCACCAACCAAACATATATAGCACCAAGCTCTGGTTGGTTTCATTTAGTCCTTCCCAGTTCCCATTGACCTCAGCCAGCAATGACCATGCTTGCTGGGAATGATGGAAGTTGTAGTCTGACACATACGAGGCCACACTAAGGATGTGGAGCCCAGATGCAGTGACCTCAGCCAGCAATGACCATGCTTGCTAGGAATGATGGAAGTTGTAGTTCAACACATACGGAGTGGCCACGCTATGGATGTGGAGCCCAGATGCAATCTCCCCCACCACCTTAATCAGGAAAGGAACGGAAGCTAACCTTGGAGCCTGGTTCTGATGGCGTTGATCTCTGCTTGGTTCTTCTCTACCTCGGCCAGCCGAGCGTTGGCTTCGGCCAGGTTGTCTTCCAGTTTCCGGACGTGAGCCTCGGCGTTCAACTGCAAAGAGGTAGAGGAAAGTTGGACTTTTTCATCTCAGGTGGCATCCTTAAGACCCAAGTTTACCCAAACATTCATGTAGGGTTCTATAACTAAACATTGGCTGAAATCTACTAGGTAGTCACAACTTGAGTAGGCCCATTGGATTAATAGAATTTATGGAAAAGTTGACTCACCCAATCCCCATGGATTCAATGGGCCTACTCTAGTTCGTAATCTACTGGATTTCAGCCATAGGGTTGGGGAGGGAACATCTAAGGACCTGCCGATAAACTAGGGCTTCCAAATATTTCCCCTTTGGACTACACCTCCCAGAATACCATGGGCACTGGGGATTTTAGTCCAAACCAAAACAGTAACGTTTCTTGACTCTGCAGTTAGCAGAATATATCTGGGTGTAAACGTTACTGTGGGCAACATCAGGCACCAAACTTGGAATTCAATCCTAACCCATGCTTGTCACGCTAGCCTAGAATGAAGAAAACACTACAGTAGGGCCCCCATATCCACGGGATCGGTATCTGCGGTCTGGAAATATTAAAAATATTAAAAGAAAAAACCCAGAAATATGTATTTCCTTGATGTAAATAACAGAACTGGCCACTAGATAGAGCTAGAGACCATGCTATGTATAGGGTTATTGATTTTTATCCACAAGTTCTTAGCATCTGTGGGGGCGGGGCTTGGCACCATCTGCCCATCAACACAGGAGTCCTAGTGTATATCTAAATAGAAGTTGTCTTCTCTGAGCCCCAATTTCGGGGAAACGGCTTTCTGGATTCGGAGAGGGGCAAAGGAGCAGGGTGCAGAACAGCCCTCAAAATGCCCCCCCCAAACTTGACAATAGTAGCCGCTTTCCCATTCAACATCCTCTCTTTCACCAAGAAGGAAAGAACACGGATTTCATGTGTAGGGTTGCCATAAGGTGGAGACCCCAGTGCACTTGAGCACCACCATGGTGGGTGGCCGGGGGGGGTGCAACGGCGGCTAGTAACAAGGTCAAGGGACAGAAGGAACCCAGTTGTCCTGCTTCACCTCTTGCTTATCAACCCTGGAGGTAACTTTGAGTAATCTTTTTGTCTCCTCCTCTTCGCAAAACCGACTGGCCGTCTCCCACGCCACCGCTGTGCGTACCTTGGATTTCTGGATCGTCTCCATGCTGGCGCTGAGATCCTCGATCTCCGCCTTCATGACCTGCTTATCCTTTTCCAGCTTGGATTTCACCCTCTGCAGATTCTCCAGGTGCTCCGTCATCTCGGCCATGGCGTCCGTGTGCTTCTTGCGCAAGGTGGAGGCGGTGGCCTCGCTCTGCAAGGCGGCCTCCTCCAGTTCCCGGCGCAGCTTCAGCAGCTCCGCCTCCCGCTTGCGGTTCTGCTCAATCTGGAGACGAACATTTCGGCAGAGCGCGAACGTGTAAGAACCATCATCATCCCTGTGTCATTTTCAGAACCTAGACTAAGAGTGAGTGGCTGCTCGCCCCGTGCCCTAAACCACTTAGGATGAAGTTCTGCCTATTTCCATATGAGCCTTCTTAAGAGCCTGAAATGATTTCTGATTTCTTGCTTTTCCAGCTGAACTTAAAGGACAGATTGGAAGAGATTACACACAGGGGCTTTTTAAGGGTGGCTCCACTAAAGGGTTCCCACCTGGACTTTCCCCTCAAAGCTGTATCTATCATGCCCCTTCTTTGCCCAACTATAGATCGTATGTTAGGGCTTGTTTGTCCTAGAAGACCTCTTTGAATGCAGTGATGCATACATTTAAACTTAATAAATGCTTCAGAGGTAATAATTGTATTCTCCCGTTGCTGAGAGCTGCCTGAGAAGAATCCTTTTTCCTAAAAGCAGGATATAAATAAGTCAAGTATGTCAAACTAGGTTAGATTGGTTTGGGTCTCTGGCTACAAAGCCAGAAGTTGGGACTTCGATTCCCTCACGGGGCCTCCTGGGAGAAGAGCCAGCCTGGGTAGCCTTGGGCCAGCTGCACTGTCTCAAGGTTGCCCCCTAGAGGAAGAGAAGTATAAACCATTTCTTTGTATTATGTACATAGAAACTCCTGGAAAGGGTCACTATGATGATGATGATGTCCACTCCCTCACCACATACTAACTTTCTATTTAAACCTCATCTGATTCATCACAGCAAACAGGGATTTGTCAGGCAGGTTGCAGTTCATAATACGAACCTACTGATTGCCTTTTTTAGCCTCAGTTCCTCCAACTGTGAGATGGGAACCCCCACCTAGTGCCTTGGCTTAAACAATGCTCACCTGAGCAGTAGTGGCTCCCCCAGCCTCTTCCAGCCTGTCCGAGAGCTCTTCCAGTTCGCGGGAGAGATCACTGCGCTGCTTCTCCACCTGGGCGAGAGTGCAAATCGTGTCACTGTTTCGTTCTCAAGATTTCTCCAAGTACAGACTGGATTATTGCATTTCTAGAGGATGTCTCATTACATTTCTCTTCTCCTGCAATTCTTTCAAAGAGATATTTCTCTGCACACAGGCAGGGGCTTGCTTTGTGGGTTTTGTGCAACACATTTTTTGCATTATTTTGGAAAAAAAAATTAATATTTTATTTTGGGTTGTAGGAAAATCAGAAGCTCCCGAATGTGAATTCAGACTTTGTCCTTCTAACCCAGTAGTGCGGGGAACTGGCCGGCAGCTGCTCCCCATGGTGTCAACTCAGGTGTTTTCTCCAGATCCGTTAGGAGAGGCCAAGAATTTAACGTGAAACTTTGTGCATGCAACATTCATTGCCTGCCACAGAGCGATAGCTCCTTCCACTTTCCTCCTATCCATTTTTCCAGCAGCAGGAGCAACAACAACAGAAACAGATAATTTTTTTAAAATCACATTTAAATGTTTAGCATTTAAAGCAGAGGGTGCAGTAAAGCAACAGTAGCAGCCCAGGAGTCCAGTTCTGGAGGTGCTCGGAATTCATTGTGGGTTTTCAATCTGTGCTTTAGGAGCTGTCCATGGTACTGAAACCTATTCCCATAATGGGATCAGCACTTCAGAAGTGAAGCGGAGACTAAAACCTGGCATGGATTCACAGAAACCTTGGATCTGGAGTCACCAGCTGCCGTTGCCAAAGATCAACACATAATGGGAGAAACGTTGTCAGGAACAACACCTGATCAGCAGAACTGCTTAAAATAATGACATTCATATTGGCAACAACAACAGCAAAGTGGGTGGATGGTTGACTGGGTTGTAGAACAAGATATATATTTACCTTTGCCCTTATAGACCGCTCAGATTCAAGCTCTTCCTCCAGTTCTTCAATCCGGGCCTGTTGAAAACAGACATTCAGCCACATGGTAGGCTTGGGGGCAGCTAACCACTAGCTAGAGCTCATTCTGGGTTCATTTGTGGTCAAAGAGGGATGGTAGCTAAGACTCAGGAGAAGCCCATGTGCCACTTCCTGACTTCTTGGTGTGGGGGGGGGGCAGAGATACAGTACTGTATATAAAGGCTGCCTATGAGAGCTGGTCAAGCAAGAAGCCAGACTCAGAAGGTCTCTTGGCTTGGGAACTTGCTGTCCTGCAGCAAGGAGAATTTTGAGGGTGCTTTCCCAGCATAAGCGGGATTTATATCTATGAGCTGTAAACAATGTTCCCTCTAAATATTGGCCCTGCCGTGCAGGAGCCTCACCCTGTGACCAGGGGTTCCAGTCGAAACCAGAACAAAATGGGCACCAACTCCAGCATCCATGCACATGGGTGCAGCTGAAAGGGAATGTTGATGCTAACCCAAGGGGATTATGGGTAAAAGTGGTCAATTCAGTCAAGGAAGCCATTTTAGCCTGTTCTCCTCAGTCTCTTTTGCTTGTACCTGATGCTCCTTCAGCTTTCTCTGTAGCGTGGAGTTCAGCGATTGCTCATCCTCTATTTTAGAGTTGAGAGAATTCATCTCCATGTCTCGCCTGAGAAGAGGATAATAATGGTGACAAACTTAAAGGCACTTGTTTCAGTCACAAAAGAGCCCCTAATCTGGACCCTGTGCGGAAAGCTAGCCTAGTTATGTATGAGAAATTGTGGTTGAACATTTTGGAGAGTTTCTTCTGGAGATCTTAATTCCCAGCTACCACCCCTGCAGCACAGCCCCTATTTCCACACACATGCCCTTACTTCTTCACCACCTCCTCCAAGTCGAGTTTGGCTCTTTCCATCTCGTTGAGATTTTCAATTGTCATCTTCAAATCCCCCTCCGCTTTACGGCGCGCCTTCTCCACTTCCGCCCGGATTTTCTTTTCTTGCTCCCAGTTGTCCTCCAGCTGGTAGAAAAGACCCACAGGTGTTGAGTTCTCAGAAACAAACAAACAAGAAGAAACAGCAAAAAAAAAAAAGCTGATGGAGAGACGTCCCTTCAGCACTTTGAGATCTGTTGACCCACCTGCAACAAAATGTTGCCGTTTGGGCCGGTCCTGATGACAGATCCTTGAGATCTGACATAGGGGCGAGCCAGGCAGGAAGATCCGATGATCAGATCGGATAAAGATAAAGATGAAATAAGAAACTCAGAAGACTGATGTGCTTAGTCTCTGGACTTGAAAGATTGTCCTGAGCCTGATCCACTCAAAAAACAGGGAAGAGTGGTACAGCATAAGTTTACAGCTAAAGAACTGCATTCTTACAGAGATCTTAATAATAATTATTATCTGTACAAAACTTCAGAATGCCAGGGCATCCATTCCTTCTTCCCTGTTTCCATTTCTCCTCCTGAACAATAAAGTCAATATTCTCTAACTGCTGGAGACACTGTTTTGGGCTGTCCTCCATTTTTTCTTCCTTCACTCCCATGGTAATTTTGTGTTTCTGCCACACTTGGGATTTCTCTGAACCTGTGGGTCTCTCCCTCATGCATGCCGAGGGGTGCAGTTTTGGCTACTGGAATAACGGCACTCTAAGTATCAGTAACAGAAGGTGTGAAAAGCCAGTACTTAGCATCCCTCTGTACTCCAGTGTAGGCCAAAAACAGAATCCGGAAGGGAATGTCTAATAAAAATAGGATTAAAAGGGACCCTATAAGTTACAGTAGACCCTATTCACGGTCAGAAGACACCCAAGGGGAAAACAAGGTTGGGAACTATATGGCCCCATTTGCCCGAAGAAGAAAATAATCATAATATAATAAAAGCAATCATATGTCCTCCAAAACTGGGAGAAGTGTGTCTCTAGGGAGCAGGATCCTGCTCTGAAATTTGGTGTGTCCCCCGATACACATTACTTTGCCCAAAATCTGGGTGGTTTTTAAAACCATAAAGCTGATTTTCAAACTGGAAATGATCTGCAGTCATTTCTGGTTTCAGTCCAAGGGAATGATGCTCCAGTCGGAAGGTCTTGGGACTAGAAAAATGACAATCACACCCTTAAAACTCGCTTGTCTGTGAGGTAAAGAAAGGTTTCGCTCCGACCCCAGGGTTGTCCTTAAAGACGCTCCATTTCTTTACTTCCACCCATGTGAATAGTTTCTGGGCTGGGGGGGAGGGAGAGAGGATGATGCACCACAGTTGGGGATCACCCTGCAGAGATGGCAAGCTTGCATTCCCTTCTGTGAGATGATGGGGGGACCCAACCCACACATTTATCGATGGGAAATCCCGTACGCGAGGCCATTTCAATGAGACAACAACGCCAGCCGACCCATACTGACCTCATGGATCTGAGTGCTCAGCTTACTGTTGTTTTTCGTGAGGTGATTCACTTTGTCCTCCTCAGCTTGAAGGTCATCAAGAGTTTTCTAAAGGGAGACGCAGAACAAGAAAAAAGGATCACAGCCGAAGGAAATGCAAGAAGCCCAGATCGTTCATCTTAGAGATCTTCAGGAGCCACGAAAGATCTGCTAGCTAACCTGGAAACATGACTTACGATGAGCATTCTCCCTTCAGGTTACTGAAACCACAACTCTTATCTACAGCTTAATCAGTGGAGTTTAATATTCATTTGGAATCCAAGTGAGATTGGGGGATGCCACCTTCTAAAAAAAGGGCTTAGAAGAAGCCCCAAGGATCATCCATTCCCTGGCAGTATGTGGTGCCTTACATAACGATTAGCAAATGGGCTGGTTCAGGTGGAATAGGGACCAAGCCAGAGGTAAGGAACTTAACCCTTGGGGAAAATACAACCGTTATGAGTTCAAGCATTTCCTCTGGGCTGCTCCTGGAAGGTCATACATCTTGACCCAGAACACTCTCCTTCTGATCATTTCCCAACTTCTAAAAACTTGAAATATCACTTTTAAGGTTTGATTCATTGCAACAAGAACTTCAAGATAAAAACGCGCTGTTCTTTTGGAGCTCTGACGTTGAACATCACCGGAGCGTGGCCCCGGACGACCTAGCTGAAACAAAATTCAGCTCTCTCGGGCTGCGTGAGGATTTAGCAAGATGAAAAACGAGCAGAGTGCCCCCCCCACCCCTCGTCTGGCATGCTTGATCCTCCAGTCTTCTCCTCTAAGTTGGTTACGGGGAAGGAGAGAAGAAAGTCAGTGGTCATGTCGGCTAAGGCATTCTGGGCACCGTAGTCCAAACAAATAAAACTTCCAAGCTCAGTGTGTGCCGTGGACGTGCCCCAGAGCAGGAGGCTGCTTGTTCTTACCTGGTGCAGTTCTTCCAGAGCCCGCTTCTCCTTCTGGAGTTTAGCCACCGTGTCCTCCCGGGCCGAGAGGTCGCTCGTCAGGGTCCGCACCCTGTGATCCAGAGCCTAGAGAAGAGCAGGGGGTGCAGACCAAACCGTAACTCATTGTGTCCACCCCATCTGAGAATCTGGGAGACGGATTCGACCCAAGGGGCATCCGTTTCCCCCAAACCTGGTTGGAAGCAAACAAACAGCACCCCCAAAATAGGAGTATCTAAGGTATTTCCGTAATAGAGTTTCCTTTCCCAAGTTCCCCACCCTCTTGCAACAGGGTGGGGAACTTGGGAGGGTCACAGAAAATGATATTTTTCACCTCCCCCATATCCCCCCACATTTTGTTGGGCACGAGGGTCTTGGGAGCTTTCCGTCTGCCTAGCCCTGAACTACCACCCCAAAAAAACCTTACCTGCTTCTCTTTCTCCGTCTTGGCGAGGGTGCTCTCTAGCCCCTCAAGGTCCCGCTTCAGGTCGGAGAGCTCCCCTTCCAGCTTGCGCTTGCTGGCGCCCAGAGATGCAGCCGCCCCTTCCTCCTCCTCTAAGCGCTCTCTCATGTCCGCCACCTGGCTCTCCAGGTCCATCTTGGCCTTCATCATCTGGGTCAGGCGCTCCTCGGCATCGGACAGGTTCTCTTGCTCCTAACAAAGAACGGCGGGTCAAATGGGATTGGAGGTTTGGCCCTCCTGAAAGGCACGGCTACCCCTCTTAGGTAGGAAACCACATTTCGATTTCCGTGCTGCCGTACTTGCAAATCCGTTTACGATCCCTATGTAACAAGTGCGTACACCATCCTTTCCTCTGCAACCAATGCCTACAGATCAAACTAGACAAGATGCTCAGCTCCTGCGCAGAATGGATGCTCCCAAGTGGTGAAAGACGTGTGTTTGTCATACACCTTTGGTTTGGGCATGTTGATCGGATTCCAAAAGATCTCCTGTATGGAGAATTAGTGCAGGGAAATCGCCCCAGAGGGAGATCATAGCTGCGATCCAAGGATATCTGCAAGCGGGATCTGAAGGCCTTAGGAATGGACCTCAACAGATGGGAAACCCTGACATCTGAGCAGTCAGCCTGGAGGCAGGCGGTGCATCACGGCCTCTCCCAGTTTGAAGAGACCCTTGCCCAGCAGACCGAGACAAAGAGGCAGTCCCAAAATGAGCAAAATCAGGGAGCTAGACAGGGGACAGATTGGATTTGACTTCAGTGTGGAAGGGATGGTCACTCTCGAAATGGCCTTCTCAGCCACACTAGATGCTGTTCCAAGTCCTCCATATAGAGCACGTGGCCCTAGTCTCTCTCAAGACTGCAGGATGCCTAATCTGAATCTGTATTTTGCACTCCGGCCAGCTTTGTTCTGACTGCTCATCAGAAAGAAATTATGGGCTTAGTTTACAAGCCTGATCACACCGGCTTGTACCTCCAGAGTTGGGGAAAGGGAGCAAGACCCTTTCCCTTAATGTCTAGCTCAACTCTCTGTTGCCAAGGATTCCATCCAAGGAAGACCACAGGAGGGCCTTAATTTCTGCACCCCAAAGCATCTCAAGACGTAGTAGAGGGAGATATTGGTTTGAACGCTTCTGCTCAGGAGAGCCACCGTAACGTCAGGATCTGAGTGGGATACCCCACATCATCAGCCCAGCTGGGCTTTTTGTCCTGTGTACGCAGAACCAAAGATGGAGTTTCTTTCATATATTATTTCTCAGTGTACAAACAAAACACGCTAGGAGAGTGGTTCCCCAAACTTGGGCCCTCAGATGTTCTTGGACGGCAACTCCCAGAAATCCTGGCAGCACAGCCAGGGGTGAAGGCTTCTGGGAAGTTTAGACCCTTTACGGACCCAAAGCTTGGAACCACTGGTCTAGGCCATGACCCTCGTCCTTTTGAGTGGCCAACAGATTTTAGCAAGCTATGGGGCTTCATCTGCCACCACAGCAAGGAAATCACACCACTGTTTTGTGAAGGACAAATGAGGGCTCGTTTTTTAAAAGTTTTATTCTGATCCAGTCGGTTCTCTGTTTTACTGGGATGCGCTATGGCTAAAGGCCTTTACAGGGCGAGCGACAAAGTGAAAAAGCACTGCTTCAAATGCCATAAAGAGATGAATAAATTGTGTAACACAATGCTTGCATGCATAACGATGAACGCAGAAGTGGAGGAATGGGGCTTGGCTGACAACTCACAGCCTGAAGCTGGATGGTCAAGTCGTTCTTCTCCTGGCTGAGGGTGGCCATCGTCTCTTCCAGCTCTTTGATCCGGTCCATCATTTCCTGAGTCTTCGACAGGGCGCTCCTCAGCTCTTCCTCCTTCGCCTTCATCTCCTCCTCTTGCCGGGCCACATTCAGCAAAGGCTTCACCTGCAAGGGAAGAACCCGCATAACAAAGTGAACCCTCGTACCATCATAGCAAAGGCTTCACCTGCAAGGGAAGAACCCACACGACAAAGTGAACCCAGGGGGGGCAGAGACGTCCCTTCTCATACCATCATCGTCATTTAGCAGGTAGCAACACCGGTTCCCGTAGCCTGGCTGGATTCGGACATGCTTACAGAGAAGGTAGGGAAGCCTCTGATGATGCGCTTCCGTAAGAGGGGTCTGCAAGAATTACATCCTGCCACTGGGAGAATTACATACAAAGATCAGGGAGTTGGGCCGTGGTTACAGGACTTCTTTCTTCTTAGGTTGAAACATTTTGCTGCTCATCCAAGTAGCTTCTTCAGTCTGATGACTAACTTTTTTTTTTTGTTCCTTCTTCAGTCTGAAGAAGCTACTTGGATGACTAACAAATTTTTTTCTTTCAGTGTAACAAGAAAGAAGTCCTGTGGCCATGACTCAACTTCCGGATAACCTCACCTGGAGGACTGAGAATCTTCATAGATATACATAGAGAGATGTAAAATTTCCAAGCATTTCAATTTTTTCCCAGAACTAAACAGGGAAAAATGTGTCCCCCCCAAAAAAAATGTTTTCCATTTCCCCCCCTGGAAATAAACAGAGGAAAAAACACATTATTTTCCCAGAAATTTCCATTTTTCCAGGAAAAAAACATATCTATTGGTATTCTGGAGGCTAATGTAACTGCACCAGGTCTCTATCAAGCACCACAAAACAGTTACCTTAAAACATGTGCTGTGATGAAACTGGTGCTATATAGGGCCATGTTACACAAGGTATTGCTATAATGTCCCTTTATGATTACCACCTTATCAAGGCATTTATTTCTGGCTGGCAAACAGCTCTTTCCTTTTGCCTGCTTAATGGTTATGACCGAGAGAAATCAACCCAATGACAGACACACTTTGTTCTCAAAACCCAACGACTCCTCCACTTTCTCCAGTCACCCTCTCACCTTATTGTACAGCTTCCACCAGCCCCAGTACCGCATCTGCAAAAACTTGCGAACATTTCTCTGGATAAGCATCAGGCCCACCCTGAAAGGAAAGGATCAGGAGGTTGGGACATGAGCAAACAGAAGCAACAGAGGCCATCGCTTAAGGGTGGAAGACCTGCTTTAGTTTGCAAAAAAAAAAAAAAGTCACAGGTTCAAATCCCCAGCCACTTCCAGGTAGGGCTAGGAAAGAAATCCTGAGCAGATGCTGCCAGTCAGAGCTGGCAATACTAGTCCAGATGGACTGAGGCTCTGGCTGAAAAGAAGGTAGCTTCCTACATCTCTAACAAAATTCAAAAGTCCCTTCCCTTCTCATTGACAGGAACATAGGAAACTGCCTTCTGCTGTGCATACAGAGCCCAGTACTACCAGCTCTGACCGGAAGCAAAAGCTCTCCATGGTTTCAGGTTGGAAAAGTTGGAGGCAGTGGGAAAAGAAGAACAAACAGGAGATGGATTGACTCCCCTAAAGGAAGACACAGCCCTGCGTTCATAAGAACTGAGCAGGGTGGTTGAGGACAGGAGAATCTGGAGGTCACTCATTCATAAGATCACCGTAAGTCGGAGGCAACTTGAAACACAACAACTGCCCAGCATCACCTTCTCTGGATATTCAGCTCAACAAGACTGGAGCTGTCACGTCATGGTGCGCCTGAGTCAAATAGCCCAGAAGGATACCGGGAGAGATTATACTGAATATGGGGTGAAAAACCTAACAGAAGATGCAGAAGCCTTGTTGAGCTTCTGAAGTCAGATGAGATCCAGTTTATTCGGAGTCGTGTGGTTCTATATCTCGATACAGAGTGTGTGGAAGACATACTTTCTGTCCAGCATCTTTTTATATTCGATCCTCATCAGGAAGCCCCGGGCCCGGCACTGCAACATGGTCATGATCTTGGCCAAGCGCTCGTCTCGCATGTCTTCCAGCTTGGCTAAGACTCCAGCGCGGAAGAAGACCTTAGGGAAGAAGAAGACATGGCGACTCCATCAGGCCTACGGACAGGTGGATTTTTCAAAGCCCAGTTCCTATACCCTACAACGGATGAAACTCTTGAAGTAAGAGGGAGACTCCTTAGTGGACCATTTATGATGAAAAGCTCTCTCGGTAGCCGTCGGCCAGGACAAGCAAGACCTGTGGCGGTGTGTTGGCCTGTACTCCTCCTGTTCAACCTTCCAGTTGGCCAGTTGGCCAAGCTCTCTTCCAAGACGCTTCCTTCTATTCTACCCCCTTCCCAGAGTTCTCCAACATAGACTCTACTGCAGGTCTACATTTACATATGTCTTCTTCTTGTAATTACAGTTCTGAAAATCTCGGAGCTCACCCAAGCCTGCTGACACAACCTTCTTGAGCTTAGAGAGTGCTACGTTAGCTACCTAATCACTGACCCTGGAGGAAAAGCTTGCTATAAGGGTCTCTCAGGGATCCTGGGCACGTCAGATCCCTCTTCTGCATGGACAATGCTGTTTTGGCTAGCTAATAGTCAGTATGGGGTTTTTTATGATGCTCACCTGAACAATCATCTCCTCTGACCATCATCTACTCCTTTTGGACCATCCTAGCTTCCACAGAGACTTATTGACAGAACACCATGTCCTATCAAGATTCATCTTTTCCATCTAAGATGGAAAAGATCAGGGTAACCCACCCTGGCAGCCTGGCTGACATACTGTAAATCTGACAGGAATCCCACAGGTTATTGACAGAACACCATGTCCTATCAAGAGTCTTCTTTTCCATCTAAGATGCCGGCCAGATCAGGGCAACCCACCCTGACAGCCTGGCTCGCATAAATCTGACAGGAATCCCACAGCCGCAGTACCTTAGTATGTCCAATTTTGTATTCATTTTCTCCCAAGTCAAGACTTCCCAGTAACAATTCTGAGGCTTTCTTATTGTCCACGAATCCTTGAGGGATCACGTTGGGATTCAGCACCTGGTATCTGAAGCAAAGAAGACAAAATACAAGCATTGTGTGGCTGTTAATAACTGAGGGATAGCCCACAGAACACCCAAACAGAAGGGACAACATCTTTTTGCCAGGTAGGGGCAACCGACAAACAGGAACAAAAGTGTTTGCCTATTCTGAATAAGAGCAGGAAAATTGCCCTCACTCAGAATATACATCATGACTCTGTCAGAAAGCCAATTCTGAATGAAGTATACGTGTATCCTAAGTACAAAGCTGTCGCCAAAGCTACCAACATGAATTTGACTCAACTCCAGGAGGCAGTGGAAGACAGGAGGGCCTGGCATGCTCTGGTCTATGGGGTCACAAAGAGTCGGACACAACTAAACAACAATAATAATTATAAAGCCAATTCAGAGTGAGGACTGAAAATCTTCATGCTCTAAATGGAATTCACATAGAACCAAAGCAGAAAGATTATATCACATTCTGACATTATGCAGCTTTATGCAGTTTTCCTTAAAGAAACCAAATTAACACAGCGCTGGGGGGGGGGACAGCCACAAAGAACATTGGACAAGCTATGGAAGGTAGAGAAAAACAGGGAGTGAGGGAAAATAAGGAGACTTTTCAGAGGAAATGTCTTCATGTATAGCTCTCATTTAAGCATCCCATCCAACATGTTTACTCTGAAATGAAATGGATCAAGAATAGATGTTTCACATGGAGCTTGTTGATTCTGAACGCAATGCATTTCTGAAGGGAGATTTTTTTTACCCTGATGAGAAGTCAGACATGTGGGGGACGTAGGTGCATCTAGCCTTGCAATTTAGTTTCGTGCTAAGGTACCAAATAAAAAAAACAACGGCAAGCAGACCGCCCTTAGAAACCTCCACAGAAAGTTCATCAATAGCTCTTCAATTTCCATGTAGGTGAGAGAAAATACCAGCCTGTTGCTTGTACTCTTGGACAATCACTCTATGAACTTAAGGAATGGGGGGGAGGGAATAATAGGAAACAATCACCTCTGCTTGAACTCAGGATACTGCAGCCTGTTAGGGAAACCCTTCCTGCAAATACGGATGCCTTCCAGCACTCCGTTGCAAGCCAGCTGATGCAGGATCAAGTGAGCATCAACGACACCTGCAAATGGACACATGGAACAGCAGTCGGCACTTCTGAAACACAATGACAGCAGCAAAACCGGGCACAATGTCACATCTTGAGAGACACACCTAGACACATGGCTCTTAATAGCAAAACCGGGCACAATGTCACATCTTGAGAGACACACCTAGACACACAGCTCTTAATAAGTTAGGGCCACAGATCCACTTAGGGCCACAGATCCTCTAAGCAGAAGGAGCAACATCTTTTTGCCCACTGGGGGCAACCTGCAAATAGGAGTGAATGTGCTCACCTATTCTGAGCGAGGGCCGGAATAATTGCCCTCATTCAGAATGTACTTCATGACATAATCATCGAGCCAAAGATGGCTGTAAGATATAATGATAAAGCCCATTCAGAGTGAGGACTTGATATGAAAGCCAATCCAGAGTGAGGACTTGGCATCTTATGCTCTGACTAGAATGCTTGCGGCATAACCAAAGCTGAATGATCTGGGCCAGATTTGGATCAGGGCCAGACTAAGGAGATTTCTTGCCTCCAGCTGAGTCTCTCTCTTTCTCTTGCTCGCTCTCGATTAAAATATCTGTACTTGGTGCAAAATATTATCAAAACCAGTGTCCTTTCCTCTTGAAAAGCACATGAATGGGCTCACACACAAGTGCTCAGGAGTACACAAACACATATTCAACATGCAAAGAATGGCTGAGGGTTAAGAAAGAAGCAAATAACCCATCCAAGGATTAAATTGGCTTAATTTTCATGAACATAGCAGCTGCTGTTCCTGTTTTGCAAAGAATTTGTGCTTTAAAAAAAACCCCACCTTTATGAAAAGGAGGACAGAAACAGGAGCAGTGGTCCTTCCAGGTGAGGATAAGAAGACTGCAACTCTTTGCTGTCACTTTGTATGGATGACAGAAGGTAAGATTTACATCCTCCCTAGAATTTCCTACGCCCAATGTTAAGAGCTGCCTTTGAAAGAGATGTAAGAATGAGTCACACGCTTGATGATCAAAAGTTAACCCACATACCAGACTGCTTGAATTCATTGGGAACAATGCAGCGGACAAAATGCGGGGCCGTGCTGTGCAAGGTAGCCATCAGCTTGTTCAGCTGTTCCTGAAAGAGGAGGAAAAAGAAATAAATAGAACCGGAGGAGGCTGCTTAACAGTCAGCGTGACTTGGTGCCACAGCCCGAAAGTCTGTCTGTCTGTCTGTCTGTCTGTCTGTCTGTCTGTCTGTCTGTCTGTCTGTCTGTCTGTCTGTCTGTCTGTCTGTCTGTCTGTCTGTCTGTCTGTCTGTCTGTCTGTCTGTCTGTCTGTCTGTCTGTCTGTCTGTCTGTCTGTCTGTCTGTCTGTCTGTCTGTCTACTGTGGTGCCTCGCTAGACGATGATAATCCGTTCCACTGAAATAGCTGTTTAGCGAAATCATTGTCTAACGAAAACCAAATCGTCGTCTAGTGAAAAACAGTTTGCGAAGCAGGGACCAAACATTGTCCAGCGAAATTCCCCCATAGGAATCACTGTTTTGCGAATCACTATAGTGATCGCAAAAAGTCAATGTCTAGCAAAAAAATTGTGATGCGGGGTAACTGTCTAGCGAGGCACCACTCTGTCTGTCTGTCTGTCTGTCTGTCTGTCTAATCTTCCTGCCTCGGAGATTCTGAGAGTTAAAATCCTAAAACTATAAAGCCCTAAATGGCCTGGGGGTCCAAGCTATTTTCAAAGGCTGTATCTTTGAGATAGGAGTCTATCCAGGCATTAAGATCATCAGGGAAAGCCTTTCTCTCTGTCCTGCCATCATCACAGGTGCATTTGGTAGGGGAACCAAGAGATGGCCTTCTCGGTGGCTGCTCCCAGTCTTTGGAACTCCCTCCCACTGGAGGCCAGGCGGGGCCCCATCCTTCCAACAAGCAGGCAAAGACTTTTCTCTTCAGGCAGGCTTTGTGACTGGCCATCTAGGAGCGTTTTTAAAATGGGATGGCTTGTATTTTTGCTGTTCTTAAATCGGTTTTAGTCACACTTTCATCATCTAATATTTTTAATATAATGTTTGCTTAATTCTTTTCTTAATATTTGGATAACTTACTATTTTTAGCTTTGAACGTTGCCCTTTTTTTAAAATGATGTAAGCCACCCTAGGTCCTTTTTTCATGAGAAAGGTGGGATAAAAATATTTTAATTAAATAACAAATAAATAAAATTACTTTTTTTCCCCAAGCTTGCTTTCCAGAGACGGGGACTTGAGCCAGACTTAAGGCACAATAACTCAACTCAGACTTGACTTTTTTGTGTATGTTTTTTTCCTAACGACTCAGAGTGGACTCACAACTTCGAACCCACCCACCCCTCCTTTTTTTTCTGGCGCAAAAAAGCTTGTTTTAACAGGGACTCAAGACTTGGATTCTCTTACCCTGTAGAAGTTGGAGACGGTCATAAAGGAAGACCCCCTCTTCTGCTTCTTTGTTCCTGCAGCTAAACACAAGATGGAAATGCACGCCAGTCAAAAGCTGGCGGACATGATCGCGAGCACCCACAAGGCCTACCGAGTCTCATTTCCCTGACAGTCAGAGCAAAGTTGTTTTTCATTACCCTGATTCATTGTATAGTGTTTCAAAAGTAGTTTGGTATTGTTAGAGTTCCAGAAAAGTAACTTAACTCATTGCTTGGTCTCCCCCCTCCTTTTTTGGGGGGGGGCTGACTTTTCAACAAGGAAGAATTTTGTGAATTTCGTTGTATGTGTATATACTTACAATGACAATAAATTATTATTATTATTAAGATGATAGAATGTTGTTCAGAGCTTAGCAGTAATGAGTTACAATTAAATAGTTATTTGCAATGACATCTTCCCCCTAGTTTGTAACAAAGGTATAGCAAAGTGACATTTCAACAACAACAACAACAACAACAACAACAACAACAACAACAACACCACAACTGGGGACTAGGTTGCTTTCTTGATTTTAAAAAGTAATGTTTTCTAAATAGTTAGAGATATTAAAATAGTTAAATACTTAAATATCTATAAATCTAGGACTCTTTACTCAAAGAAAGCAACCTAGTTAGCAGCCTCCTTTTTCCTATATGCAAGAAAAAAACCACCACCCCCGTGGATACCAAGCCAGAGCTCTTTAGAGGAATGGGATTAAGGGATAGAAAGGAATCAGCGTGATCTACATACTAGGCTCCTCTTCTTTGAAAAGGGTGCAAAGCAGAGGCATCCCAGACTTCTGAAACAAGCCCACCACTGTTTCATTGAGGGGGTCCTTGTTTTTCTCCAGCCATCCAGTAATATTGTAGCCCACCTAGAATGACAAAGAAAGAGGGTCCAACTGTACATTATAAACAGCCCATCATTAGAAGGAAAATAAATCCTTGACGGTGAAATGCCTCTGATTTTCCCAACAGGAACTTTCCACACTTTTCTAGCTCCAGCCTCCAGAATTCTAGGAGTTAGGTCAGGAGGTCCTTAGCATTCCATGATGTCATTCAGGGGAACTCAACAGAAAAAAATCAGCAGAGGATTCTAATTCCCTCACTAAATTACAACTTACAGGATTCTCCAGGCTGGACCCATGACAGTTCTGGTGTTACCAAGCCCCTGTATCCAGAGACATTGCTCTGGAAGTACCCAAGCTCAGGACACAGCACAGAGGCACCACTTTCTTGCTGGCAACCACCCTCTTTTGGGATCGCTGCCCTTTCTCAAAGTCCGAGTCCACCCGAGCCTTGTACTCACTGTGCCAGCGTAATGCACCAACTCAAAGTGAGCTTCCGCCCCTTTCCCCTTGCCGCCTTTGGGCTTCAAGAAGTTGGGAGATTTGCCCAAATGATTGTCATAGAGGGCTGCTTTGAAAGTTGCATCGGTGGCCTTGGGGAACACACACTGCTCTTCAAGGATGGAGAAAATGCCCATGGGCTGAGGAGAGAGAAGAGAAGGGGTGAGAGAGAAAAGCACACAAAGATAGACAGCTGCATAGATCCATTAAGAAGTACTATCCATCCATCGTGGCTACTTCCAAGTCAAAGGCGAAAATAGGAGAGGAATGGGGGGGAAGTGCCTTCTCAGTGGTGGCTCCCTATCTCTGGAACTCACTGCTGGGGGAAGTGAGGTTTGTTCCCTTTCTGTTGCCCTTTGGCCAGCAGGCACAAACATTTTAATACATAAAGCTCTTTGGCACGTCAGTCGACCTGCTGCGGTGGGTGGAGGGGTCGAACTGATGACGTGTTGGCTATGTCTTTTATCCTTGCGTTTATAGGGGTGCTTTTAATTTACTGATGCCTTTCTGCGTCCTCAATTCATTTGTTTTGATCTCGTATTGGTATCAAGACTTTGTCTTAATTCTCTTTTATCTCTGCTCTTGGGACACTGCCTCTTTAAAATTATCCAGCAGGGTTTTTTAAAAAAAAATAGTGATAGTTGTATAGTTTTAATTGTTATGAGCTGCCTTGGGTCCCCTATGGGGAGAAAAATAGCAAATAAATAAGTAGTTAATTCAGCCCTAAGCCTTTGGAAGCGGGCCCAGTGAGCCCGGATTTCAAATCACCATCCACCTCCGAAGCTCCGTGGACCTAACCCTCTCAGCCCGGTCTATCTCTCAAGAGTCGTTAGGAAGATAAATCTGGGGAAGAGGATGATATGTGATCCTTGAGGAGGGGGGGGGGAAATGAACTATCCAGTCAGCAAATAATAAGGAGAAAACCTTCTCACCTTTTCCAGGAGTTCAATGCAAGCCTGAAGATCAAGACCGAAGTCAATGAACACCCAGTCAATGCCTTCTCTCTTGTATTCCTCTTGCTCCAGCACGAACATGTGGTGGTTGAAGAATTGCTGAAGCTTCTCATTGGTGAAGTTGATGCAGAGCTGCTCAAAGCTATTGAACTGTGGGACAGAGAAAAGACACCAACAGATTATGATGCAAGATAGAGCTTCAAATAATTGGGTGGAACCAAGGGCAGCTGCTGACTACACAGGATCTGACGGAGCTGATCCTACACAGGATCTGACAGATCTGATTCCACACAGGATCTGACAGATCTGATTCTACACAGGATCTGACGGATCTGATCCTACACAGGATCTGACAGATCTGATTCCACACAGGATCTGACAGATCTGATCCTACACAGGATCTGACAGATCTGATTCTACACAGGATCTGACGGATCTGATCCTACACAGGATCAGGATCTGATCCTACACAGGATCAGGATCTGATCCTACACAGGATCAGTCTTTGGGATTTCTAGTTTAGAAACAATTCAGGAACAGGTTCACGAGACTTCTCTGCTTCATCTACTGGAGATGCAGGCAAGGCAGACTGGGGTATACTCGGCTCAAGGGAGCCATAATCAATCTGCTGGGATGCCAGGCTCCAACCTCAGAATCTAGGAAACGCTTTCTCCCAGGAAGTGCTTACGCAAGCATGAGAAGGTTTCTCTTGGGCTCCTGACTTTCCCATACCTCAAAGATTTCAAAGCCGGCGATATCCAGAACCCCGATGAAGAACTGCCTCTGCATCTTGGTGTCCAGCGTCTTGTTGATCCGGACCACCAGCCACTTGAACATCTTGTCGTAGACGGCTTTGCCTAGGGCGCCAACGGAGTTGTGGCACTGGTCCATGTTCTGCCCTTTCTGGACAAACTCGTTCCCCACTTTGACCCGGGGCCGGGTGATGCCCTTCTGGAGCTCCCCGGAGTTGAGATTCATGAGGTGGGCAACTTTGTCAGCCACTGCCAAGCAAAATGCCCAAAAAAGTGGACATGAGCAAGAGAAGGCATGAAACAATGCAGGAAATAAAAGGAAATGAGTTCCACCAGAAGTGAGGAACAAGGGACATCCAGATGGAGCTCAACTACAAATCCTACGATCACCAACCATCCACCAGGCTGGCAAGAACGGCTAAGAGATCATGGATAGGAAAGTGTGGCTCTCTATGGATGGGACAGATGTGTCTGGACTGCGTCTCCCAGCATCCCTCACCACTGGCTATGTTGCCAGGGGATGATGGGAGTTGTAGTCCAGCAGCACATTTCCCACCCTGGTACAACAAACCTATTTCAGAAGGAACACAAAGGGCACATCACCACGCATGTCTACTCAGAAGTAGTTCATTTTCACTGAATTGCTGTCAGATCCACTTAAGACAATTCTATATATGAGATTATAGCCATCAGAAAGTCACAGATGCAAGACTCCAGGTATGGTTTCCCACTCCGAATGGATTCCTCCTGCAGGATATCTTTTCAGTGTGAGAAAGGTAGTCTAACCGGAAGCCACGTTCGTCTGTTGTTGCAAAAAGGAAACCAGAAGTCTTGCAAAAACTTTAAGACTAACGGGTTTTTATTTTTCATAAGCTTCTGTGTGCTCAAACGCATGTCTTCAGATGCACAAGTGGCTGTGACTATGGGGGCAGTTTAAAACTGTTGGCAGGGGAAGACAAAAACAGGCTGTGTTGGTCCTGGATGAAGAAGATTTTTAACAGACTACAGGTGGAGATTAATTCCATCACCATGGTGGCCGTTAGGGTCTGACAGGGACAAAAGCAGGGATGGCTGGATTAGCAGATAGAATGACACAGAAAACCATTGTCCTTATTAAGGCCTATAGAGTGTGTGCTGAACCTCCTCATGTATCCCTACTTAGAATCTGTTCTTGAAGTTTCAGCCACTGCATTCATCTGAAGAAGCCTGCATGGACCCACAAAAACTTAGGAAAAACAAACACTAGTTCGTCTTAAAAGTGCTACCAGGTTTCTTCTTTGTGGGGTTTGATCCGCAGGCCATCATTTGTAGTGAAATGTGACACTGTCTCTCCCCAGCAATTAAGGGTTCAATAGAACTTGCCCCCATGCAACCCTCTGTAGGATCATAGCCTTAAAGAAACACTCCGGGGTCTCTCTGTTCTCTGACGGTCCTTTACCCTCAGTGGTGTCCACTTCTGCTTGCTCCTCTCTTGGCTTCTGCTTGAATTTCATATTGCCAAAGTGCATGATGCCCCCGGTGAGCTTGTAGACGCTGATCTTCTCTTCTGTAGTGAAGCCCAGGACGTCAAAGGCCACCTGGTAGGGACGGGAAAGGAAAGGCACGAAGATTTCCATTACGTAGATGTGTCCACAGCAGCCCTACTGGGCCACGGAAGCTCACAGGGTTGTGTGTGTGTGTGTGATGGATGGGATGGTAAACCATTCCTTCAGCATCTTAGATAACTTGAAAACCCTGTTAAGGTCACCCTAAGTCAGCAACAACTTGACAGCACACATACAGCAAATATACATCTATGTGTATAATAATTGTGTCTGTCAGGTCAATTCTGACTTATGGCCACCCGTTCCAGGATTTTCCAGGTAGAGAATAGTCAGAGGTGCTTTACCCTTCCCTTCCTCTAGGGGTCACCCTGGGGATGGTGCAGCTTGCCCAAGGCTACCCAGGCTGGCTCTTTTCCACAGTGGGGGATCAAACTCCCAACCTCTGGTTCCTCAGCCACAGACCTAAGCCACGGAGCTATCCAGCCAGCTCTGTGTATGTTTGTATCTGTGACACACAGACACACATACATCTATAGAGTATAGGTACACACACAAACATATACACGGAGACACTATTTTTAAAAAACCAGGGGCTGGAGAGCTCATAGCCCCCCTGTATATTTTTGGACTACAACTCCCATCAGCCACAGTCAGCCTAAGCAACAGGGAACAATGCTAGGAGCTGTCGTTTGACAACAGTTGCAGGCCTGCATTTTACTTCCCACCAGATAATAATTGTAAACATATGGGCAGGGCAAGATAATACAGTATTACAGATTCTTGTACAGTAATATGTTTATTTACAGGGGTTTTCCGTCTGTTTCTAACTGTGCTAGCCAGCCACCTGCTAAGACCCATTGGCTGATTGACAAATAAACCAGCTGACAAAGTTGAAACAAGTTCTTCCTTTGCAAACGTACATCCGTGAGAAGCAGTTCTTCCCCGTCGTCCATGTTGTCGACCGTGGTCACCCCCTGACTTGTCCAGTGGTATTCCTTAGGATCCGGCACGCAAAGTAAAGTCTCTGTAGCAAGAAAGGAGGGCCAGAATGTGAAAGATGATGAGGCCTTAGGGAAGGAGCAGGATTCTGGAGCCTCTGCAGGCTGATTCCCAGCCCTCTGGTTTAAAACCAAATATACCCCTTCTAGCAATAGAGCAAGCCCGAGTCTTAAAAAGGAAGACTAGCTAGACTCCTATTCTGGAACATCTTGTGCATAAAGGAAATTAGACAAGCCGTGTTGGCAATGGTCCAGCTCCCTGTTCATTGTGCACCCAAGCGCATCGTCAATGGATGGTGTGCCTGAGTGCACAAGAAGCGACCAGAAAATGACCTGGGTACATCCGAGTACAAGACAGGCAGTCAGAACAATCATGAGTACCGGGCAACATGTAATTTGAATGTTACGATGCACCACCTCAATAGGATTCAGGCTATTTGCTCTCTGCCTCCCACTCTGGTCTCTTTTTCTCACCCAACCCCATACGGAAAATACTGTAATGATTAAAGTGCTTCATTCTTGGGTGAATCAGCCTCTGGTCCCCAATGAACAATGAGAGAGACAGAGAGAGAGAGACAGAGAGGAAGACTTCCACTACTTTGAACTCATGAGAAATAAAGGCAGGATATCAGTAGGACAAAGACAAAAATAAAGGCATGTCATACCTACAAGTTCTGGCTTCTTGTTAGACAGGAGCTGGTAGAAAATGTGGTAGCCCCTTTCAGCAGGCTGCTGAGAAATGACGCGAGACTTCTCTAGGAGATCTAGAAGATAAAGGAAGCCCAGCCTTGTACTCAGAGTACAGATAAAATCCAAATTCAGATCCAAACCAGTTTTCCAGGGCTTCACAATGCATCAATCAAAGACCAGGTGTGCCTAAAGATTCCCCTTGACATTTAGTCCAGTTGTGTCCGACTCTAGGGGGCGGTGCTCATTCCCGTTTCCAAGCCATAGAGCCAGCGTTTTGTCCGTAGACAGTTTCCGTGGTCATGTGGCCGAAGCGACTAGACAACTTCCCACCAAAGTGGTACCTATTTATCTACTTGCATTTACATGCTTTCAAACTGCTAGGTTGGCAGGAACTGGGACAAGCGACGGGAGCTCTCTCCGTCGCGTGGATTCGATCTTACGACTGCTCGGTCTTCTGACCTCGCAGCACAGAGGCTTCTGCGGCTTAACCCACAGTGCCACCGCGTCCCTTCTATACTAAATTTTCCCACCAAAGTGGTACCTATTTATCTACTTGCATTTACATGCTTTCAAACTGCTAGGTTGGCAGGAACTGGGACAAGCGACGGGAGCTCTCTCCGTCGCGTGGATTCGATCTTACGACTGCTCGGTCTTCTGACCTCGCAGCACAGAGGCTTCTGCGGCTTAACCCACAGTGCCACCGCGTCCCTTCTATACTAAATTGAAATGTAATTAACCCACAGTGCCACCACGTCCCTTCTATACTAAATAGAAATGTAATTCAAAACCTGTACCACAAAAACCCAAAGAGCATCATCTGCAAGCTGAGCAGGTTGGCTTAATGTTCTTCACTCTGCTTCATTGTTTTGCAATAAATGTACTGTCATTGTCACGCCAGGAGATGATTATTTTAAAAGTCTTAGCCAAGGAATCAACGTTGTTTTCACCAGTTTGTGGATCAAATCATAATTTAAAAGTCATTTAATAAAAAAAGGGGGGTGCCTTACTGAAGCCAAATTCCACCTACCATCGATTAAAGAAGCGAAATCTACCCGGCTAGGTTACTTACAGCTCTCAATGTCAGCCCCAGCCAGCTTCCCAGTGCTGCCGAAGTGGATTCGGATGAATTTACCCTGGTCAAAACAAAGAGGAGACATCTCATTTCACCAAGTCCCACAGTACGTTCACATCTGGTCCAGAAGCGTAGTTGGACCTGCCATGTCTGAGGAGTTGACGGGTGTGTGAGGGTAAAATCAAGGGAGATTTTAAATTTGCGGAAACAGCCACCTTGGACAAAAAGCAGATTGTCTCCTGATTCTTCAGACAGGGTTGTGACTCATAGAATAGTTAAGTTACAAGAGAAAGAGACAGCAAGTGGCGTTTTTCCATGTATGGATCAATAGGTACTCATGGGAAAATACTGACTTGGGTGCGGTATGCGGTTAGCATCAAGTACTTACAAAGCGAGAAGAATTATTGTTCCTCGTTGTTTTGGCATTTCCGAAAGCTTCTAGCACAGGGTTGGCCTGGATGATTTGATCTTCCAGGGAGCCCTGTCCAAAGAAGGAGGGGGAAAGTCAGATTTTGAAACACTACATATATATAACATTTTCTTCAAGACAAGCCAACAGGGTGTTCTGTTTGAGTTGCTACAGGATAACGGTCCCCAGTTCACCTCGCCCGGAACCTTTACCTTCCCATCAGCAGCGACTTTGCCAGTACTGCCGATGTTGGCAAAATATTGGATGACTTTCTTCGTGTTCTCTGTCTTGCCGGCTCCGGATTCTCCGCTGAAGGTCCAAGAGGAGACAGAGAGGGATACATCAGGACCATAAAGTTGAGAAGCATTTACAAGCCGCTTAACTCCACCCTCCCAGCTCAAGACCATTTTCAAAGCTGAAGGCGAACATCTGTGCTATTCTCATGGTTTTCTTACAGCTTCATCCTCCTTAACTAAAAGGTGCGTGGGCCAAGTGAAGAAACAGATAACGTGTACTGTAGTTTGTCTCACAGAAAGCACCCTATGCAGTTAGAATAACTTCAAAGTCCTCTTTTAGACACCATTGCAATCCGAGATAAGGGGAAAGGCCTTCCTGGTGGTGATCAGCTTATGGAACTGCCTCCTCTAGAAAAGTTTGCTTCGTTTTGAATGTGCTTGGCTTGCAGAAATCTAGATCTGGAGGTGGGGAGTTCTACCGTATATCGCAAGCTGCTCCAGAGATTTTAAATCCCGGACAGGTTACAAATATGTTTACAAGTATCATCAGGAGACAAAATCTATTTACTTACGTGATCAGCATAGACTGGTTTTCACGTTCTGTGTGGGGCAGAAGAAGATAATAATGTTAATTATTAGTATTTCTACAACTAGGCTAATTCAAAGCTTTGTAACAGCAGAAGAGGATCCAGTAGATAGGAAATAATCAGGCCCTGGCAGGCATAAGGGAGGCTATTTAACATTTTCAGACTTCAGGTAAAATGCAACCTTTGAGCTGATAAACTAGAGTTGTATGCTTACAAACATTTGCCAGCCTGTGGTTCTGTTACCTATGGTGCAACGTGATTTTCTCTCTTGCATTAAGATTAGTACAGTGGTGCCCCGCTAGAAGCTTACCCCGCTAAACGACAAAATCGCTTGATGATGACTTTTTTGTGATTGCAATTGCGATCACAAAATGATGTTTCCTATGGGGGATTTTTCACTTTACGTTGATTAGGTCCTTGCTTTGCAAACCATCTGTTCGCAAAACAATAATTTTTCCAGCTCCGCAAAATAGCTTCCCTTCGCAAAATGGCTGGCTTCCCTTCGCAAAATGGCTGGTTTCCGGACAGAAGCTTTGCAAAACAGCGATTGTAAACAGCTGATCGGCAGTTCTCTATGGGCAATCTTCACTGGACGATGAGGCATTTCCCCACTGGAATGCATTAACCGGTTTTCCATGCATTCCAATGGTTTTTTTCCGCATGATGACGATTTCGCTGTACAGTGATTTTAATGGAATGGATTATCGTCGTCATGCGGGGCACCACTGTATTTCATTTTTAAAACCTGACGGGCCAAAATTCTGTCGGTGTTTGCATAAGGCTTACGCAAGGCTTGCTGGGGCTGTCTGCACATTGCTGGCAAGGTGCTGGGGCACATCTCAGCTGAGCGCATTGCCAGGCACATGCCCTGAGAACTCATTAACCAGCCACCATGAGTCACAGCAACTGATGCAAACCTTGCATGGACATCAGTAGAATTCAGGCCAGCATTTTCTACAGCAAAGAAATAAACCAGACTTTTCCTAGTCGGTGGGAAAATAGCAATTATGGAGTCTTTGAGGTCCAGGGAAGCTTTTACTCACCCATAAGCATGTCATGGTAGGCGATGTCAGAGATAGAGAAGAGGTGAGGGGGCACCTCAGTGCGCTTCCTGCCCTTGTACATGTTGGCCACTCGAGCACCATAGATGGGCAGCCATTTATAGGGGTTGATGGTGACACAGAAGAGCCCAGAATAGGTCTAGAAGGAGCACAAAGGAGCCACGGATAAATTTCTTATCTGAAGAGAGTGCAACCTGGAGATCTAATTAATCTAATTAGGGCGCCCTACTCAACGGCTCCACCAGTGATCTCCAGTGATCGAATCCAAGGCAAAAGTTCATTCTGTACAGCAGTGGCTCTCAAACCACTTGGGTGACCCAGATGCCCTTGGACTGCAACTCCCAGAAGCCCCAGGCAACCCAGCTGGTGGTGAAGGCTTCTGGGAACTGCAGTCCTACAACACCTGCGTGACCCAAGGTTGGGAACCACCACTGTCCAGAACCTCTTCAGGCAGTATGGAGGTGAGAGGCAGCATGTTCAAAGGCTCAATCCACACAGAACCTCACCTTCTTAGAAAGACAGAATGCTGGGGAGAAGCCTGAGCTAAATATTCCAGTTATTTTTATTTTATTTTTTTAACATGCTGCATTTTCCTCTTGCATGGAAGCATCAGAACACGTAACTTCCACGTATCCTTTGAATGGTAACCCAGTGCCAAGGCTTGGGATAAATAAAGAGAAGAAGGAGATAAAAAGATAGTTGGATAGATCTAGGCATCTCTGCCTTCCTGTCTTTCTAAGCAACCGCTTGCTGACGTGTAGATTTCTATTCCAAGGTTCCACTTCATTCCCGCTTCTTCACCAAGCTCTTGTTCTTTCCTTAAGAGGAAGCAACCGTGTGTCTCCGTAATGGCTATGAGCACGTATGCATTCATGAAAGCCAGCTCTAGAGGTTTTTCTAAACCTGAGATTTTTCTTTTTTGCTGACCACTCGGAACAGCTTTTCAGAAATAAAGTGCCTGAGCTCCATGATGATCATGTCTCAGAGTCCTTTTTCCCCCAGTAGAAGCCCGTTTAGCACTAAACCCCTGTATTCTGCTACTAGAAACGGGACTTGGGAATGAATAGGGACATTCTCAGTGCTTTGAGGGAAATGGCTGGTTCATTATTTGGAGCCTCAAAGCAGCATCTATGAGGATGCAAAGAAAGCAGGGTGGCGGGGAGGGAAAGCTTTCCAACCGATCCATTTCATTTGGCTTTTGCAGACTAAACAGAGAGGCTCCTGTGGGTTCTTTTCAAAATTATTTTTATGTTCTCGCTCACTCCAAGCAACTTTCTTCTCAGTTGAGGAAAAGGAAGGAAGGAAGGAAGGAAGGAAGGAAGGAAGGAAGGAAGGAATTATCTACCAAAGCAAAAAACATCAATGCAAACTTCACTTCTCTTATGCGTTTACAACGGCTGCTACTTTGGTTTCATATCCTTTCTGGAGTGCAAAAAAGGTAGGATTTTATGCTCCTTTCCTTTTCCTTTGCTCCCTCTTCGGTTGCCTGTCTCAAATGTTTTATTCACTTGCTTCTATAGCCCCCCCCCCCCCCCCCACCCCCACCTCTCCCCCTCCACTGGTCATCAAGGATCATGAAGGAACTCAGCCACCTGGTTTCATTCTCGCCACCCCTGAAGAGGCGTGTTGCAACCTTTTCCCACTCAAGAAGCTGAGCACAAAGAGGGAAGGCCAGCGCCACTCATTCACACAACCCCTCGAAGTGAACTCTACTCATTAAAATGCAGACACCAGGTCAGGGCACCATAATCAGGTGTGTGACCATCATGCATTGGGCATATTGCGTAGCTCGGTCCTGCGGGTTGTCATTCAGAACACAGGAAGCTGTCTTTTACTATGTCAGACTCCTAATCTGTCTGGCCCTATATTGCTAGCTCTGACTGGCAGCAATAGCCCACCAAGGTTTCAGGAAGAATGTTCTCCTCTCCTCTCCTGAAGTTCCTTGATATTCCCTGGAAGTCTCCCATCTGCTTCCGGACCAGCCCAGATGATGCTTAGCTTCCAAACTTAGGTGAGACTGGAGGCATCTCACTAAGCCACAAACTTCACAGGGTGATCATGGGCCATTGTGCTCTCTCCGTCTCTCTTCTTCAGCCTGATTTACGCTGGAGGATTGTTTTGAAGGAACAAAAGCGATAAATATTTCCAGAATCCCCTAGACTGCAAGGACAAGGGAGATTTGGAGCCCCACATGCTTTTTCAGCTCCCAGAATTTGTACTGCCCATGATGTTAAAGGACTGCGGGGTAGTATTCCCCAAACATCTGAAGCACCAAGGGTTCTCCATCCCTGCACTAGAGGAAAGGTGGAGTGTAAATCTAACAAATAACGTATTCTTCCATGTATTAGACATCCCCATGTATAAGACGCCCCCACTTTTCTAACCCAAAATTAAGAAATCTAAGTGGGGCTTAGCAAGTGTGGGGGGAAAGGGATCAAAGCCCTGCAGGATCACTTTGATCCCTGCTTTCCCCTCCACTTGTTTTTTCTCACCTCAGCTTACTTCCCTGTATAAGACGACCGTCAATTTTGAGTCTAAAGATTTTAGACAAAAGTATAGTCTTATACGTGGAAAAATACAGTAAATCAGGGAGCCATTTGTCCCTTGTAGAACACCAACATGCTCCGTGCCCCACTCAAATGCTTCCACCCCTCTCTCCTCACTTACGTAGATCCTCATCATGACGTAACGTTGCTTGAGATTGTCCAAGACACTCGGTTCGTTCAGGAAGGTCATGTTGGCCATGTCTTCCACCTGGTAGAACTTGGGTGGGTTCATCTGGTGGACATCGTCCTTCTTAACGGTGACGGTCTGTGGGGGCCAAGCAGTTCTGATTTAGAGGAAACCAAGGCACGTCCTTCCTGCTTGTGGAAGGTTTTAAACGAGGCAAGAAGCCCTTGACTGTAACTCTCATTGTCTAAGCTGAAAAGTCATTCTCCCAGGTAGGGGAGGCTTCTACAAACATCACTCAGTTTAAAGCATTTGACACTCACTACCCATGTGGAGATTTAGTGGGAATGCTATAACCCCTCTTGATCTCATGTTGAAAACCCTATTTAATTTATTTATTCATTCGATTTTTACCCCGCCCCTCTAGACGACGTCTACTTGGGGCGACTATGCAACGATTGGTCCAGACACGTGGTAGGAATAATTTATCTGTCTCCCAGCAGTCCTACGATAGGGAGGAAAGGAGGGAGGAAGGAAGGAAGGAATTCTTGCTGCTAAGAACTCATTGTGGGATCTCTTTGCCCCACTATTTCTGGTCCTTTCAATGGGCCAGATCCCAATTTAGTCACGCTTCAGCGCAGACACATGGAAATCAACAAAGGTGCAACCAGTCATGGCCACCACTGATTTCAATGATTCCACCCCAAGCATGACATCTGGATGCAACCCAACAGCTCTAGTGTTGGGTGGTGGACCCTTGTCTTGGAGACCTCCCAGACCTTGGACTTTCAGGGGCTCCCATTCCCAGCCTCAACATGCACAACTGATTCCATCTCCCTCCCTCCCAGGAGATCCCGTCCCTCTCCGCCCCATTCCGAGAAACATCCAAAGGGAAGGTCTGGCGAGCCCAGAAAACCCCTTTGATCATCACCTGATTGGTGACCGTCTTCACGGTGACTTGGTTATCCGCCTCCGACTGGATCTCTCCAGCAATGAAGCCCTCCTTTTCGTCCTTGACCCAACAGGACTTCTTTATATCATAGGGCTTGCTTATCGCCTCGATCTTCTCTTTCTCCGTCGGAGCCAGGAAAGGCATGGGGTCCACGTCGTCCCCACATTCTCCTTTATACCCACCAGGCATTTTGGCGTGGATTTAGAACAAAACGTGGATGACAAGATCGGAAGATCAAGGTGACCCTCAAAGCTCCTGGAAAACAAGCGGGCAGAGAAATGTCCAAAGATAAGGGAGAGAATTATATTTTCGGATAAAACCATCCCTGTCCCCTGTTCATCCCTATGCTTCATTTCCCTGCCCTTTGGATGTACAGTGGTGCCTCGCTTAATGGCGATAATCCGTTCCAGGAAAATCGCCGTTAAGCGAAAACATCGTAAAGCGGAAAAAAAAAACATTGAAACGCATTGAAACCCCTTCAATGCGTTCCAATGGGGTCAAAACTCACCGTCCAGCGAAGATCCTCTATAGGGCAGCTGTTTTCGCTGCCTGTCTTTCGAGGAATCCGTCCCAGAAAACAGACATTTTGTTTACCCAGCGGCCATTTTGAAACCCCCAATCAGCTGTTGTTTTCGAAGAATCGGTTCCCGAAGCAGGGAACCGATCATCGCAATGCAAAAAAAAAACAAAAAAACCATTTAGACCATTGATCAAAAGCAAAAAAAAAAACCATTTAGACCATCGATCACAAAAAGATGGTCGTAATGCGGTTTTGTTGTAATGCGGGGCAATCGTAAAGCGAGGCACGACTGTACCATAAATAGGAAATTTTCCTACCACTTCATCCCAAGACTGACCAACAGACAAGAAGCACCTACCAGGCAGGCAAGCTAGACCGAGATACACCCCTTGTTTACAAGAGACTGGCTCAGATCTTTTATACCCGCTGTTTATACTGTTGGGGGTATGACTTTCTCTCCCTCTGAGAGTACCACTGGCTTCGTCTCAGCAAAGCTGATTGGCCCAGGATCACCTCCCTCCAAGAAGTAATACCGCAGTTTCTTGGGGATTTGCTTCACCCTTACCATCTCCTTATAGGGCATCTTACAAACCCAGCCTTGGGGCTCGGGGGACCAGAGGTGGCTGAAATAGAACCCTCCGCCGTGCAAGTGCCTCTTTTCAAGACAGACTCAGTTACACCAGGCGAAAGGCGAGAACTTTCCTGCCAATTAGGCGGCATGGAAACAAGGGTTTCCGCGGATCCCACAACCCGGGTGCAGCCACGCTCAAATGCTCAGTGTGTATATAGCTCACATCCAAACCCTCAAATATTATGGGGAGAACACCTCAAGGGGATGGCTACTCAAAAGAGATGCCCGTTACTTGGGCATCGGAGTAGTCATGAGGATGCAGCGACGTAACCTCACTAGATATATTTTATAAATATTATCCAATATATTTATTTTAAAAAAATATCTAGGCAGAAACATTTAATTTCAAAATAAACCAAAACTGAAAGGCATGGGGCTTGACAGGGTTATGATACTTTTAGATCTTTTGGTTAGGAAAACATTGGGATTCCCCCCCTCCCACAACACCTTTGAAGGGCTAAATGCGTTCTGCTGTGTAAGGCTGCGAGAGGCTCCGTGAGGAGCTGAAAGGGCTCCATTTTGCTTGACTATTGATTGTTTGATCGAGCGGTCGGATTTTTACCCCGCCCATCGTGTGGCATGCCACTACTCTGGGTGGTGAGGGCATCCAGAAAAGCTTCTCTAAAAAGATATCTTTCGATTGACTTTCCGATTGCTAGAAGGGGCCACCACCAAGAAGGCCTGGTTCCTAGCCATCGATTTCCAGGCTTCCCTTTGGGAGCTCACTTCTCCATCCATAAAACAGGACTAATTGTCTTCAGCCCCCATTAGGGCCACACATTCTTGATACTCCACATCTGGAGATCCTGAACAGATGGGATTACGCGGCAAGACTTCTGCCTGTAGGCCAAGCTGTTATCATGCTGTGCTTAGTAAATCTACCCTTTTTTGGGGGGGGGGAGTATAAATCTCACTTCTGGGTGTGTTGGCTGGAGAATTCTGGATGGAACATTTCCAAGGTCTGCCCCCCCCCCCTGTCAAGGATGGGTAACAGGGAAATTCCAGGTATTGTTTGATGACAACTCCCATTAGCTCCAACCCAGCTTGGTTGTATAACACTATTTGGAGACCTGCAGAGAGAGAGAGAGAGAGAGAGAGAGAGAGAGAGAGAGAGAGAGAGAGAGAGAGACCATGCTCTGCTTTCAGGACACTCCATTCCATTCTCTCCCCATCCGTAATAGTCAGCCAGTAATTATTCACATCTAATGCAGACTGGGAGAATCTTAGCTCATACTGGCAGAACACAACACGTAGGGTTCATGTTCAGCCGCCATGCAAACATTTATCAGGTAGCAATGCTTTCCCTAGGCTGGACCACTTTAGAGCCCAAGGAGACGAGTAGGGCACATATTTAAATATACATTTCTCCCATTGGACTGTATGGATCTGAGCCACATGGCTTTCTTAGACACTGATTTTATTTTCAATTTTTTAAAAAAATAAACATTTCAAGAAAGAAATAAAGATTCAGCAAATACTGTGCTGCTCATCATTCCCAGGAAGTAGCTCTGAGAAATGCACTTCTCAGGCTTACCTGGAGGCCTGGGGCGGACAGGGTGGAGGCTTCTGATCGGATGCTGGTGGCCTGGATGGCCCCCTCTCCTGGCACAGCACCTCCGTATGGTGGCCGAGGAGGATATTGGGCCACGGCGGGAGGCTGGCACAGGTTAGAGGAGGTCTGTCTGTGTGTGTGAGATCATGGACTGTTTATGCTTTGTAGTTACATTTTTGGGAGGATGGGAGTTGTACAAGGATTTTGAACTAGTTGAGGCTGCAGCGATGTTGAAGGGAGAAGTGGGTTTCCTTGCAACAAGAAAAAAGAGCATTTCAGGTGGAAATAGTCCAGCCCAATTGCACGCACACACATCCCCTATTATTTTGCTTTAATTGGAAATGTGCAACAGGAGACCAAGGCTAAGATCAGCCATATTGTAATATTCACAGTCACTATTTATAGATGCAAAAGCTGGACAGGAAAGAACGCCAGTGGTGTTGGGGAGATGGATTCATTCAAAATGCAGCATTGTAGAAGAGCTTTGCTGCGACCATGGATTGCCAGAAAGACAAGGTGAGCGCCAGACCAAATCAAGCCGGCTGGATAAGAAGTTGAGAGTTCAGTTCCCATGACGTGTCTCAGAAGAGCCAGTCTGGGTGGCCTTGGGCAAGCTGCACAGTCCCAGGGCGTCTCCCCAGAAGAAGAGTGAAATGCTAAGCCATTTCTGAGTATTCACTACCTGGAAAACCCCAAAAAGCGTCACCATAAGTCAGAACTGACTTGGCAACACCTTCTTCTTCTGCTTGTTGTAGGCATAATCGCCAGATTTGAAAGCTTTCAGCAGCAGGAGCAAGAAAAATGGTCACCATAAGTCAGAACTGACTTGGCGGCGCACAATTACTAAATCAAACCAAGCCTGAACTCTAGAAGTGAAAATAACCAAACAGCGAATCTCTTACTTTTGACATGACTTGAGAAGACCAGCCTCCTTAGAAAGACAATAATGCTGGGAAAAGTTGAACACAGCAGGGAGAGAGGAAGTTTGAATGGGAGACGGATTTACTTAATAAAGGAATCCACTACCTTGAACCTGCAAGGGCTGAGCAGGGGTATGAATGGCAGGGCATTCTGGGGGTTATCCATTCACAAGTCCAAAGCCACTTGAATTAGCAAAAATTGGTGGCAATGTTGTGGAGCCATCCAGGAGATGTTACAACTGGGAACGGCTTCGCCACCTGACTCCTCTGGGTCTAAAAGCCAGCAAAACCCTTTTATTTCACTGAAAGGGCTGCTCTCTGGGGGGTTTTCTATCCCTGTAGTTCAATCAGGGCTTCTTCAGCCT